GGTAAAAAAAATAAATCACTACAATGAAAGAACTACTAAGCATTTCTAAAGAAGACACTGATAAAAAAAAGAGAATAGAAAAATGATGGAAATTTTGAATGAGCAATATATGAAAGAAACAGAATGCATGAAGTAGATTCAAAGAGATATACAAGAAATTAAAAACTCAATGAGTTGGCAAAACTGAATGAAAGTGAAGATAGACTTTCAGACCTTGAAGACACTGTTGCAGCTAGTGAAAAAGTAAGTAAATATTTCTTATAAACAACTAGGGTGCAGGAAATAATAATTCAACATCTGCAAGATGATGCAAAGATGAACAATATAAGACTAATAGGCATGACATAAAAAGAATATGGGCAGAAGGAATAGCAGAAAACTTCCCAAATATGGGAAACCATCTGACATTCAGGCAACTGAGGCATACAGAACTCCAAATAATATCAACACAATTAAAACTACACCCAGACATACAATAGAATATAATAGTCAAGATCCCAGAAATCCAGCAGAACAACATTCTACAAGCTGCTAGAGAAAAGAAACAGATTACACTGAAAGAAAAACCCATCAAATTAACAGCAGATTTCTCCTTGTAAACCAGTAAGTCAAGAAGAGCAAGGAGTGAAGTACTTCAAAACCTCCAAGAAAACAAATTCCAACCTAGACTGATCTACCCTGCAAAACTCTCTTTCAAGTTTAATGGAGAAGTGAAATACTTCCATGACAAAGAACAACTAAAGAAAATCATGATGACGAAACCAACCCTATACAGAATGCTAAAAGATATTCTAGAAAGGGATCAAAATACCTCCATTTTCAAGAACAACAGAAAAGAACCCACCAAACACAGCAAACTATTAACCACTGGATAAATGTTGGGAACCAAAAGTAGGAAAGTAATATGACAAACTTAAGTCAACACATATCAATTATAACCACCAGTGTAAATGGTCTTAATTCACCAATTAAAAGAAATACATTGGCAGAGTGAATTAAGAAACAAAATCCAAAAATATGCTGTACACAAGAAACACATTTAACCCATAAAGAAACTCATAGGCAAAGTCAAAGGATGAAAAGCAATACTACATGATCCAGGACCTCAAAAAAGCACATAGCTATCCAGTAGCTATTCTGTTCACAGACAATCTAAACTTCAAACCAAGAATGATCAGACAAGATAAAGAAGCTCATTATATACTGGGTAGGGGAAAAATTCAAGAGGAGGAGATAACAGTCATAAATATGTATACACCAAATATGGGAGCATCCAGCTACGTAAGACAAATTTTAAAGGACATGAAAAATCTAATAACCAATATCACAATCTTAACAGGGGACCTTAACACCCCCTTATCTCAAAAAGATAGATCAAGCAGACAAAAAAATAGCAAAGAGGTAGCAGAACTGAACCAAACCTTTGAATAAATGGACTTAGTGGACATATACAGAGTGTTCCACACAACATCTGAATACAGTCTTTTCAGCTGCGCATGGGACACTTTCTAAGACAGACCACATACTAGTCCATATGTCATGCTTAAGAATATGCAAGAAATTATCTCATGCATATTATCTGACCACAGTGCAATGAAACTGGAAACTAATGACAAAAGAGATCACAGAAATCCCATAAACATATGGAAAATAAATAACACTCTCCTCAGCAACCAATGAGGTATAGATGAAATTAAACAAGACATTAAACAATATCTACAATCCAATGAAAATTCAAGCACAACTTACCAGAATTTGTGGGATGCAACGAAAGCAGTTCTTAGTTTACAGCGGTGAACTCACATTAGGAAAATTAGAGCGAGAACAAATAAACACCCTAATGCTGCACCTCGAACTTCTAGAAAAAGAGCAAACCAAGTCCAAAGCCCAAAGATGGGATGAAATCATAAAGATTAGAGCAGAAATTAATGTAACTGACACAAAGAAAACAATATAAAGAATTAATGAATCAAAAAGCTGGTTCTTTGAAAGATAAAATAAAACTGATAAACCTCTACTAACCTCATCAAAAAGAGGAAAGAAAAAACTCAAATCCAAGAAATAAGAAATGAAAAATGCAAAATTACTACAGATTCAGTGGAAATTCAGAAGAATATCAATAGCTACTTTGAAAATCTTTACTCTTACAGAATTGAAGACAGAAGAAATGGATAAATTTCTAGATAGGTACAAACTATCAAAACTGAATCAAGAAGATATAAAAAACCTCAATAACCCAATATCAGCCAATGAAATTGAAAATGTAATAAATAACTTACCGACAAAGAAAAGTCCAGGTCCTGATGGATTCATAGCTGAATTCTATAAGAAATTTAGAGAAGATTTAATCTCAATACTCCTCAAACTCTTCAATGAAATTGAAAAGGAAGTAGTGCTTCCAAAATAATTCCTGGAGGCAGGTATTACACTGATAACAAAAACAGAGATTCAACCAAAACCAGAACTATAGGCCAATGTCCCTCATGAACATAGATGCAAAAATCCTCAATAAAATCCTAGCAAATAGAATACAGCAAATCATCAAGAAGATTATACATTATGACCAGGTAGGATTCATCCCAGGAATGTAAGGATGGTTCAACATACACAAATCTATAAATGTAATACACTATATCAATAGAGCCAAAACCAAAAACCACATGATCATCTCAATTGATGCATGAAAGGCATGTGACAAAGTCCAACACTCATTCATGATCAAAGCCCTATGAAAATTGAAATAGATGGCCTCTACCTCAATCTGACAAAAGCCATTTATGACAATCCAATAGCCAATGTAATTCTAAATGGGAAAAAACTGAAATCTTTTACTCTCAAATCAGTTACAAGACAAGGATGTCCTCTATCACCATTCCTGTTCAATATAGTTCTGGAAACATGAGCTAGAGCCATTAGATGTGAGAGTGAAAAGACAATCCACAAATTTGGAAACTATCTTAGTCAATAATCACTCAGACAAAGGTTTTCTATCTGGAATATATAAACACCTAAAAATAATGAGGGCCTCAAAATTTAAAGACCCAATTCAAAAATGGGCATCCAAGAAAAACATACACTTCTCAGAGGAATACAAGAGGCAAGTAAATACATAAAAAATGCTTCACGTCACTGGCCATTCGAGAAATGCAAATTAAAACAATACTGAGATACCATCTCACCCCAGAAAGAATGGCTATCATAAAGAAATCAACTAATAATAAATGCTGGAGAGGTTGTGGGGGAAAAAGGAACCCTTCTTCACTGCTGGTGGGAATATACACTGGTATAACCACTATGGAAATCAGTGTGGTGACTCCTCAAAAACTAGCACTAGGAATCTCATTCAATCCAGCTATTCCTCTTCTGGGAATTTTCCCAGAAGAACTGAAAACATCGTAGCACAATGATATATGTGCACCATGTCTATAGTAGCACAATTTGCATAGCCAAATCTTGGAAGCAACCAAAGTGCCCATCACCTGAGGATTGGATGAAAAAGGTATTATTTTTATACAATGGAGTATTACTCAGTTATAAAGACACACTCAAAGCCTTCATAGGTAAGTGGATGCAACTAGAGCCTATACTCATAAGTGAAATAAACCAGATCCACATGTGTAAATATTGCATTGTCTCCTTAGTGTAAAAACCTGAAAGAAGAATAAAACCTGAGAGGAATAACAGATATTATAGTAAAATAGAAAGAAATGGAACTTAAGGATTAAACAACAAAGAGGAGAGAAAAAAGATTAGGATGGCTGAGGTGATTGTACTGAAAATCTCCATCAGTCTTCTCAAGATAGCAGTTAACGTGCAGAATTTTCACCTTGACTAACTCTGTATGCTCATAGCTGCAACCTAAGCAACTACATTGAGGACAGCAATGTGTAATACAAAAACATCTTGATCTGTTTCTAATGTCATATTAATTATTACTATACTCTCTTTAAAACAAACTTTTTAAAAAAGGTAAGTAACAAAAACAGATATGAATAAAAATTTAAGGTTTCTTGAAAGCAAGTGGTAATATGCAACCATATGTCCAATCTTACATAATGATATCTGCTAATCTCAACAACAGATATGACAGTAAAACAGATAATATATCAAACAAAATCAGCTATTCTTCGTTTGAAAATCTGTAATATATGTACTGTTTTACATTGCCCTGTTTGTTTCTGCTTTGCTTTTACTTTTCAAAATAAAATAAAAAATAAATAAATGAATGAATAAAAAAGCAGCAGGTCCTACTGGGCTAGACCATCCCAGGGAGGGAGAGGACACCAGAGAGCCAGATTCCTAATGCTTTTATGGAAGGGGTTTCTCCTTTCATTTCATCAATACTGATAACCACCTTCCATTTCATCCTCTTCTGAAAAGTCAAAGATGTCAACTTGAATGGTGAGTACAGCATGGAATTCTTGGTAAACTAGGCACATTTTATAATTTTTTTGGTGAATACTCTTGAAAAATTATTGGTGTTTCTGATAAACTGTGCATAATATACGACCCCTTTATATTAAGAGAAGGTTAAGGGATATGTCAGGAGGCCAGGAATGATTACTGGTATTTCTATCATTTCTTATGGGAAAAAGTCTTGATTTACAACCAACTTGAGTTGCAACCAGCCCTCAGGAATGAAGTGAGTTTGTAAGTCAAGGGTCCCTGTACATGTTCAAAGTCAAGCTTAATTTAAACATTTTTCTTTGAATCATCTCTGAAATGTTTCACACAATACAATCCTCTTTTTTTTTTTTTTTTTTTGCAGAGCTGGGGATTGAACTCAGGCCATTGTGCTTGCCAGGCAAGTGCTTATTCAACTGAGCTAACTCCCCAGTCCCCTACAATCCCTTTTTAGTAAAAGTAACCAAAATAAGTAATTTATGTAGATTATTATTTCTAAACTATAAGTACATTTTTAATGAACATAAACTCTATTTCTATTGTATACAGTGTTTCAAAAGAAAGGCAAAATACATAGCCAAAAGCAAAACAACACCAAATATGAAAAAACATTTTATTTATAATAGATCAACATTTTGACATGAAAGGTAGCCACTTTCAGTTTCTCAGGAATGCCTAGAATCCAACAGTTTCTGGAAAGACTAGTCAACAATTATTTCACTGTAGGAAAAGAAACAACTTCAGAATGAATTTTTTAAATGGGTTTGTCTATAACAAATTTTTTTATAAGCATGAATGTATGGTAAGCTAGCTTTCCCAGAAAGTAAGTGTAATCCAGCTATGTTCCCAGTGTATCAAACCAGCCCATAAAACAAACATGAGGGTCTCCTATGTGTATAAACTGTGCTCAAACAAGAATTCTCTGTATCAAAATATTTATTTTTCAAAAAGGCCTCACATTAACCCCTCAAACCAATATCCCTTTCCTATGTCCACCTCTCTTTTCTACTTCAAGTTGTATTACTGTACAGATGACTATCAAATCCCCATACATTAATTAAAGACTATGTAAAATATACCAAACACAATAGTCACTGACTTTAGGGGACAAAATGATAATAATATAACCAATGTTATTTTTTGTTTAGGGGGAAAAAGCAACCCCTAAAAGTCCTTAACGCTTTGCAACACAAAATGTAAAGCTAACTTGTAAAGTTAAAATAATCAGAAAACATCTTTTGTGAAATGTTTTACATAGACAAGTGATACATTTTAGATTCAAACCATACTATCTTCTGTATTTCAACTTGGGAGAAAATTTACGTTATCTCTTCTCAGTTACATTTATTTTTTGAGCATTTAAATATATTATACACTTTGTAAAATTCACCTTGGTTACCACTCCCCATGGGTAAGTGCTGTCTTCCCTTAGGTGAGTCCATTATATGCATTTAATTCCTAGGGAGGTTTAAATAGCACTTAAAGTATATTAATGAGAGTTCTGAAATGTTGAACGTTTCATCACCTGTTTACTGTAGGTTTTGTAATTCAAATTCATCACAGCAGCCTAAAGAAATACCATGTGAATGGAATGCACATAATTCCCTACAGAATACACAAACTGAAGTCCAAAAGGCACAGAGTAATGCTGGTGGCTCTTTCTAGTCAGTTAAGAAACAATAAAAAGTTTGCATTATTCTTTCATAATTTAAATACTTAAGTAATCTCCACTTTTATTACTTTATAACAATGACCTCAAATTTACATTATTTTAAGTACCATTGTAATAGCTTAGAGTATAATACAGATATTTGTTATTTATCCCATCCAAAAATAAAACAAAAAAGAAATAAACAAAACTTTCACTATATATATACATATACATATATATATCTATATATAAAAAATTATTCCCAAAGATAACATAGAAGAGGGGCTTGGTACAGGCCATCAAATTAATTTTCTATTACCACAGTTGTTTTTCCAAAATCAACAGATACACAGCAAAAATCAAAAGCAGTGCAAATATCTTTGGAAGTTAAGATAAAATTATAACAGAAGAACATAAAACTAAAGAAATAAAAAAGGCAAGTACTTCAAGTACAAGGAACCAGTCTGCTGAGGTCCATCTTAGTGTTTCCTGGGGGCTTCCTTCCCGCTTCTACTTCTTTCTCTGAAACACATTAGCCAGCATGGCACCTGATGTTGTCAGCTGGCCCATTTTGTTCAAAAACTTGGTCTTTGTATCTTCACTCACTAAGCTTGCAGCAATTGACATTGAGCTAGGAAAAAAAATTAAAATTCATGTAAAGCAATTAAAAAACAAAGTTATTTTTTATTTCTTTAGTAACATACCAATACATTCACAATGGGCATTATAAAAGGGAAATTAATGCATATAAAGGAGAGTTTTTATGTACTAAAATAGGTTAGTAGCATTAATTGTTCACTCCTTATATTAAAGGAGTACTATGTTCATCATTTATATTAAAGAAAACACTAGTAGTTAGAATCTAATCTGGGATAGGACTACATCTCAGCTGTTTATTAGCTGTGTGACCATGAGTAAATTCTTTCATCTGTAAAACGGAGCCCTTCCAAAAGAAAAACAAAATGAAAAACCTGGGTGTGGTGGCACACACCTGTAATCCCAGCACTTGGGAGCTTGAGGTAGAAGGATCACCTCACATTCAAGGCCAGCCTGGGCTGTGTAATGAATTTTAAGACCCACTTGCACTACACAGTGAAACCCTGTCTCAAAAGAACAACAAAAGAAAGAATGTTTCCTCAACAGCTATTAACATTACATGAGTGTAAAGTGCTTAGTACACTGCTAGACACATACTAGCATGCCAAGAGTGCTAGCAGTTGTTCTTTTAATAACGCCACTTAGTTTTTACAGCAATCCTGGAACATATGAAATGTGATAAAAAGAAATGTACTCAATGTTTAAATAAAAAAGAAATTGGTAGAGTAAAAGAGCTATTGCCATTAGTTCCCCTCAAAACACAGCGCTAACATCAAATGCTTAACCCATCATTCTTGCCAATTTCTAAAGCAGTTCTGGAAGTCCTCTTTCATGCATGTCTTTAGTTGCACTGTTATGGTTGCCCTGATGTCCTGAATAGGCTTAAAACATTTACTTTTCATGGTATTTTGACAGTGGGAAAAGCCTGAAGGTACAATGTGCCAGATTTGGTGAAATAAGGTACATAAGGACACAATGTAATGTTTTCTTGAACCTGCCTCTTTGTTGGATGGCACTTGGCAGCAGCATTCACTGTATTTTTGATCACATTTCTTAAAGACATTTCAGATCCACTTCTCAAAGTGGCAAGAATGAGATAACTATATTTGAATTGAGGGGGAGTATTTGGAGGGGGATAAATGAAAATGTTGCACTATAATAATTTTTAAATTCACCTTATTTTTTTATTAAACCTTACAGACATTACCATCTTCTCAAGTGAGTAAAGTAAATCACAGTGAATCTGTACTGTGCTAATTCCTTTTTTGAGGGAAAAAAAATCCTAGATCATCAGTTTTCAAATTCATTTATTCTTTTTTGTCAAACTGCTGTGTAGGAAGTAAACACAATCTGCATGAATATGGAGATTGCTAATTTATTAGATTACCATACTGAAAGAGTCCTGCAATAGACTCAGAACCCCAGTTTATTGTCCTGTGGCTTTGGTTGATTGAGATGTATTTGACCTTCCAATTCAGTTTCCTCATCTGTAAAACACAGCTGTCTATTGCAATACAAAATATTCTAAGGCTTAACTAAGATAAAGTATGAACTTGTCAAGAACAATGTGGGGCAAGCTGGAGGTGCTCTACTGGAACTAAAACATGAAGTAGGTGTCACCACCAAAGGTATCTGGGTGTGTGTTGTCTCTCATAGTGTGTACTACTAAATTACTCGACTGAAAACCCAACCACAACCACCTCCCCACCACCAAAGTCTCTTCTAGTACATTAACATGGTTTCTCTCTCCATGCTTTTGAAGAACTACTCCTCTCCCTGGATCCCACTCACAAAGTAACACAAGGTTCATTATTTGGCTTTTGATTTTTCAGTCATAAAACTTTCTTTCAGAGCTTCAGTTATGGATGACTCCAAAAGATCAACTAAATCACCAATACAGTAAACTCTCTATAACATATTTCAGGTTGAAAATTTTCAATTTTCATTTACTGATTACAACATAAAATAATGTGCTTGTGTATTTAAGAAACAGCAATCTAATGTATGTGTTTTACACTATTACACCTATGTCTTACATTCCCCCACTTTCATTCAGGAATGCCTACTCTATTGCCCAATCATTTTCAAACTAAATCTCTTTCTCTCGATTGCCTACTACCCATCTCTCAAACATCAGTTCAAGTCCAGTCTTTCTAATGGATCTTTTCTTATTAACTCCTGAGGTTTACAAATGTTCTTTAGAAAACCCAATATAAGTAAAAATATAAGACTGATTTTAATTTATGCTTTGGAAAAGGGGTTGCATGGATCAGATCATACCTAAGAATACTATTATGTTTTAATGATATTCTATAAGGACTGCAACAATGATATAAAGGAGATTATCCCTAAGAGATAAACCTGAAAGGTATGAAGAATGTTTGGCTTGGAGGAAAGAAGATTTAGGTAACCTAACAGATGCTCCCAAATGTGAAAAATTAGATACAAACTATCTGCAGGCTGGATATAACTTGAGAGGACCACTGATACACATCACAATCACCTGGGCAGCTTTTCTGAAATATAGGTGTTAATACCTAATCCTAGTTCCTGAGAGACTTTCATTTGGGGCAGTGGGCCCAAGCACATATTTTATATAGCTTTGTAGTTAAGAATCACTGCATTGCAGCATTTTTTTTTCTAGAGTGTAAATTTTTACTAAGTTTTACAAAGGGGTCTGTAATAATCATCAGGGTGTATACCACTGAATCATTGAATCTTAAAATGTTGGTCTGCAGTTTTTGGGCTGGCTACTTTCTCTTCCTTATCAGTGCCCCTTCCCTAACTCTAATCCTGTAATTATCATTTATATGTTTATACTCTTAAATCTCAACTGCCACTTTTTTGTCAGTTGTTTTCTTCCTGCTCCACAAATTATAAATATGCTCCTTCAGGACAGTTCTTCCTACAGTTCTCTTTTGTTGTAGTGTGTCATCAACCATGTAAATGTTAAACCAAAGTTTGGGAACCTTTACATTCTGTTCTCCTGAAATATATCTCTAACCCATCGCCTTTTCATATTCACTGTAATACCCAGATATTATAACAGTGGTTAAAGGAATAGTGTCTACTTTGTAGGGTCATTAAGGAAATTACTTAAAGTATGTGAAAAATGCTCAGAATGGTATCAGGTTCCTATGAGATAAGTAGTAACAATCACGCTTGTGACCTGCTCATTACACTCCTAACTGATCCTATCATGGACCCCATAACAGCTTTGCAATCTGAATTTATATTCTACTTGCTTCTCTATATTAAGAGAAGAGTCTAGCTTCAAAAACCAGTGTCTTTCAGAGTATAGTTCCTGCACTTGCATCAGTATCATTTGGGAACTTGTTATCAATGCAAATTCTCAAAATCTACCCCACATCTTCTGAATTAAAATCTGGGGGATGGCACCTAGTGATTTCTAGGTGATGACAGACAGTAAAGCTTGAGAACTGAAGTTCCTAAGGCCTGGGAAACTACATGTGGCAGGCCAAGTTGAGACTGCTGCCTAGTTTATAAAGTTTTATTGAAACACAGACATGCTGATTAACTTACTATCAATGGCTCCTTTCCTGTTACAACAGAACAGTCTAGTTGAGAGGTTGTGACAAAATACTTATAGTTTCCAAAGTTTAAAATAGTACTTATTGCCGATGGAAGAAGTTTGCCAACTCCTCTCTACAGGATGAATCCAGCCCTCCAAGTGTGACTAACAAAGTTCTGCACCTACCCACTTTTGTACACTTGTGCTATTCTCTCACATTCTAGCTTGTCTCTAACTTTACTTATTGCTGATGGAAGAAGTTTGCCAACTCCTCTCTACAGGATGAATCCAGCCCTCCAAGTGTGACTAACAAAGTTCTGCACCTACCCACTTTTGTACACTTGTGCTATTCTCTCACATTCTAGCTTGTCTCTAACTTTTGTCACTATGTACAGTGCTGTTTTGCATATAATCACCACCATTTTTGCCTTTCCACCTCTCTGGCCAACTTTTCATAGCCAAAGACTCCTGAGAAATTTTCCAGAACTCTTTCAATGTCCCCCCCCCCCCAACTTGTTATTGTTTGGTTTTATTTCTACTTCTAACTGACCCACTCCTCAGCTGTGATTACCTGGTGGGAAAGGAAAGGATTATGCCTCATTTAAGCTCAGTTTTTGTGAACAGCTCATGATTCATGTTCAGTGAATTTTACTAAATGTTGAATGAACAGAACAAACATTTATGCATGTATTTTCTGCTTGCAGATCAGTGCAAACTTGTTTTGGACAAAGTTCTCAGTAAGAAATATATTCAAAGTAACTATTAACATATGTAAGTAGCTGAATTATCATAAAGAAACATACATCTTTACTACTTGGAATGTTCTCTCTAGTTTTTATTTTATTCTATTTCTTGGGATAGCACTTTTATCACAATAAATAAAAATTAATTCAGTATTGATTAATTAATTTGTGGTACTTGGGATTAAACCCAGGGTGAACTACATCCCAACACCCATTTAAAAAACTTTTGAGACAGGGTCTTGCTAAGTTGCCCAATGGGGGCTTGAACTTGTGACTCTCCTGCCCTGGCCTCCCAGAGGAGCAAGAATACAAGGGCATGCCATGACTATTTGCTTTGGTTTTTGAGACAGGGTCTTGCTAGGTTGCTAAATTGCCTAGGCTAGGCTTAAATCTTGTAATCTATTTACCTCAGTCTTCTAGAGTGCTGGGATTATGGAGGTGACCAGACTCTAGCTGAATTAATTTAATTATACACTAACAGGGCACAACAATTAGCTGAGTATTTCAGATCTACAAATATCCTTCCTTATCTAACTTCACTCTTACTTCTCTTTCTTAGAAGTAGTTCCCTTTACTGTTCAAGGCTGTCTTCTTGAAGGAAGTCACTTTGAAAAGGTGACTTCTAAGCTTTGGTCTGAAAATGAAGGAAGTAGCTAGATAAAATAGGATGGAATCCTGTGTTATAAAGACCTAAGGAAGAAGAATCATATGGTTGAGGATCCTAAGGTCCTTGGTTAAGCCTCTCCTAACTATCCTTGGGAGATAGAGCAGTCTCCTATCTGTACAACCAGTACAATTTCCATATGATTTTTATTATATTACCTTTACAAGGTGGTACAATGCCATTCCCATATTTTGTCTAGTTTTACTCTACATTATTGGAAGGCAAAACTATCTGATTTATTTTTAATCCTGAGCAAAGTACCCAAAATGAAGACACTCGTGAAGGTGGAAAATGTAATCAACTTCCCTGATTCCTGCAACACATATTTTCTGTATCTTTTATTTGGAATCTGTAAGATACTTTCATAATACAAATAAGTTAGAAATTAATGGATACAGGGGTCCGGGGAGATAGTTCAGTAGAATAAGTGCTTGCCTGGCAAGCGCAGGGTCCTGTTCAATCCCTGGTACCACCCCCCCAAAAAAAAATTAATGGATATAATATTGGAGTATTCTACTTTTTCTAGATTAAAAATAATCCATGTTGGGCCGGGGATACAGCTCAGTGGCACAGGCACCTGCCTGGCAAGCACAAGGTCCTGAGTTTCACTCCATGCACAAATCCAACCCCCCAAAAAACCCCTCCATGATAGCATTACAAATCTTAAAAATGAGGGTGTTTTCATGAAGCTTTGAGTGAAGCTCTTCCTGGGGACAAAGTGGGCCTCAACGTCAAGAATGTGTCTGTCAAAGATGTCCAGCGTGATAATGTGGCCGGTGACAGCAAAAATGACCCACCAATGGAAGCAGCTGGTTTCACTGCTCAGGTGATTATCCTGAGCCATCCCCAGCCAGATCAGTGCTGTCTATGCTCCTGTCCTGGACTGTCACACAGCTCACAGTGCTTGCAAGTTTGTTGAGCTGAAAGAAAAGAATGATCACCGGTCTGGTAAGAAGCTGGAAGATGCACCCAAGTTTTTGAAATCTGGTGATGCTGCCATTGCTGACATGGTTCCAGGCAAGCCCATGTGTGTCGAGAGCTTCTCTGACTACCCACCTCTGAGTCATTTCACTGTTCATGATGTGAGACAGACAGTTGCTGTGGGTGTCATCAAAGCTGTGGACAAGAAGGCTGCTGGAGCTGGCAAGGTCACCAAGTCTGCCCAGAAAGCTCGGAAGGCTAAACGAATATTATCCCTGCCACCTGCCAACCCAGTCTTAATCAGTGGTGGAAGACCGCTCTCAGAACTGTTTCTCCCAATTGGCCATTTAAGTTTGATAGTGAAAGACTGGTTAATGATAGCAATGCATCGTAAAACCTTCAGAAGGAAAGGAGAATGTTTTGTGTACCGTTTGTTTTTGTGTAGCAGCTTTTAAGTTATTAGTTTTTACTTAAAATCAATACTTTTTATTGGAAACAACTTGACCAAATATCTGTCACAGAATTTTGAGACCATTAAAACAAAGTTTAATGAGGAAAAAAAAATGAGGGTGTTTTAATAACTAGGAACAATTTACATACAAAAGCATAATTTTGCTGCTCTCTTGCCCTTACTCTTGAAATTATGTTTACGATATTGTCATACAGATTTTGAGGAAAAGCCATGTCAAAAGGACTTAAGAGTCAACTTGAAAAGACTCAAATTGACTACAGATGGGGATTAGTTTTGGGATTCAAAGGCATTATAGGACAGGCCAAATAGCTCAGTGGATTAAAGTGCCTGCTTAGGCAGATGCAGGGGCCAGGAGTTCCATCCTGGGGCCTGCCCAGCTGGCTCTGCCCCCAGGGTGCACTGAGACAGCAATTGAAATAGGGCGTGGTGGTGTGCGCCTATAATCCCAGCTCTTGGGAGGCTGTAAACAGGGGGATCACTATGAGTCGGATCTAGTAGTGTTAACCTGAACACCCTGTAGACCCTTCCCTAAAATACAAAAATAAAAAAAAGGCATTATAAATGTAGTACATTAAATTATATAAAATAAGTTTAAATATATACATTTGTAAATTTTAAAAACAAAATCTAAGTGGCTGTTCACCCATCAGGGGGCGAATCAATTTATTATTCTGAAAACTGGCAAATAAAAACAAAGAGTTAAGTGTCTTGCCTTTACCAAATAAATTATAGTACTGAGTAATACAGAAAACTTTAGAGGTAATTTTTTTTCCCATAAGTATTCTAGGTCATCAATAACAAAGGAATGATACAATTAGGATACTATATTTCATAACCTCCAATGAATTAATAAATTATCAACAGCTTGTTAAGATCCCCAAAAGTAAAAAAAAAAAAAAGTAACTGGGTGCTGGGGAGATGGCTCAGTGGAATAAGCGCTTCCCTGGCAAGCACAAGGGCCTTGAGTTCAATCCCCGTTTCCGCAAAAAAAGATCCCCAAAAGTAGAGAAGCAGACATCAGCTTTAGGATGAAAACATACTTCCTCTTATGAAGCAGTCTTGATAAAAGAAACATGTCTGTATCTTATTAAGTCTCCAGTTCACAGGAAATACAGAATTCATATTAAATAACAAAAGCAAAATTAGAACTGTGAAAAACTTTATAGGCCAAATGATCAAATTTCTTCCAAAAATAAATATGGAGAAAAAAAGTCGAGGGAAATTTCTATGGCGTTTCTCAATTTTGAAAATTGTTATTCTCTTTTTTTTTTTTCCCACATCAGTCCATCCATCCTGAAGGCAGGGCTGGGGCGCATGTGGTGCCTGGGATCAAATCTTGGTCCCCTGCACCTGCCTAAGCAGGCACTTTAGACCGCTGAGCTATCTTGCTGGCCCCTCCAAATTGTTATTTTCAAAAAAATAATCTGAAGGTTCTACAAAATTTTGGTATTTTATTTAGTTATTTATTTTTCATGTATTTGGTACAGGGTCTCACTTTGCAGCTTGGATTCACAATGATACTCCTGTTTTCTGCTTCCCCAGCACTGGGATTACAGGCGTGTGTCACCATGCCTTGACTTGGTGCCGCTCAGTGTGCCTGAGGGTGGTCCCTGCACTTGCCAAACAGGTGCTTAGTTCGCTGAGCTATCTTACTGACCAATTTTGATATTTAATGTATGACAAATGAATACAAATATTTGCTTTGGTGTTTATTTTAGGCTCTCTGTGTTCAGATAAAAAACCTTTACTATTAGGCCTTAGGTAAAAAGCCTTTTACTATTTCAATGAGTTTTTGTTGTTTTATCTTTCTATGGTTGAAATGGTAGGTACAAGTATGTAGGAAGAAGAGCTCTTATCCTAGGAGGCTAAAGAAATGGCTACGATAAATCAAAAACAGATTGTGTTAGGATGTGTGTGTATTCACAGACTGCTTGGATAAAATACATTCTGATAGCCAAGTTTAAAGAAAATACTTCTGAGCTTTTAATATGTGAGTCTATTTAAAATAACTTTTGGGGGCTGGCAAGATAGCTCAATGGTCTAAAGCACCTGCTTAGGCAAGCTTAGGCAAAGCTCAGGGACCAGAGTTTGATCCCCCAGCACCACATGCCAGCCAGCCCTACCCCTAGGGCTGAGCTGGCCACAAAATAAATAAATGAATAAATAAAAAAAAAAAAGTAACTTTTCAAGGTTACTACAATAAGAACCAGGGAACATAATCCATTGTAAATTATTTCCTTTCCCGAATAACCAATATACCGTCACATCTACGTATTTTTAATTTTACTAAATCTTTCAGTTCTAATCAGCTTGGTCAGAACCATGACTTTGGCCAGAATATTCCCAAATTTATAATTCTTTATGCAGCAAATTATTATACCTTAAAACTATGTCACAAATTTCTGTTTTGACCTTGACTCTCCAATCCAACTACATATTAGCTCTTTGGAGGCTGTTTAAACATGAACACTCTAGGTTGAATCAGAATGCTGAGAGGAATCTATAAAGCATAAGGTAGAGATATAAACTTTAAATTTTTCTGATACTTGATGAAACAGCTTGTGGATCAGCATTTGAGTAACTTGAGTAAGACTACTTGAGGTAAGTCTTTTTTCCTTGATTTTTAAGCACTTTTTTATTTTAACGTAATACAAGTAGATATTAACAACGAATAAAGAAGCACCTTTATGAAAAATAAAACAAAATTTCATAGCAAAATAATTAGAGAATGACAGTTAATACACTGTATACTATGGTCTTAAGAGAATGGCCAAAATGTCATACAAGTCATAGGCCAAAAAAATAATTCTCTCTTAACAAAAAAGAATGTTTATAGTACATAATGATTATACTTCTTGTGGGGCATTGTTACATGTAAATAACCACATCTTAATTCTTTTTTCACCCCCCTTCCCCTCACCTTGAATAAGGGGAAGGGGGGTGAAAAAAATAAATGACCACTAAGTTGTACAAAATTAAATATTACACCTACTAATAGGAAATCTAGTAGAAAAAATAAGGTTGATATAAAATCTTAAAAAAAGAATTAATGTCTTACCCTTGAGGCTCCTGGACAGTCTTATTTTCTACTTTTTGTTCACATTCTTTTATCATGGAACTTAAAATAACCTGAGTAAAAAAATATTTTAATTAAATACACTTTAATAAAATAGTATGGCTTAATCTAAAGTTTTAATTTTTAATAGTCTTATAAATTAATATGCTAATTAAAAACAAAGTTTTGACAGTTGTTTTGTTGAAGGATTTATGTTGGCAGAGTATTACAGAAATAGCTTTAAAAGATTTCATTTTGGGCTTTGGGGTATAGTTCAGTTGTACCATGTGTGCTTAGCATGCATGAAGCTATGGGTTCAATGTCTAGTAAACCCCAAATTTAATCATATAACTTAAGAATTTATTTTTATTTGCCTTAGGTTTATTTCTAAATCTGATTCCTATTCTCGTAACTTTTCCCATCATTTAATATTAAAAGAAAAACACACAGGGGCCAGGGAGATGGCTCAGTGGAATAAGTGCTTCCCAGGCAAGCACAAGGGCCTGAGTTCATTCCCTGGTTCCACCACCAAAAAAAAAGGAAAAACACATACATCTATATATTTAACATACATATATACTGTGGACACATATGTATTTTCCAGTAAAAGCCATTCTAGTCTATGTTCCTTTGCTTTCTCCAGGTTGCAATACTTGGTGATAGGAACAGAATCTAAGACTGTTAACACTTAACATCATTCTTGTAGGGAGACTGATTGTTGTAAAACATGGGGCTCTAACTGCTTATCTACCAGCTAAGAACCACAGCAGAAATAGAACAGCCCTACTGAATATTCTTGGCCCATGTTTTGATCATGGAGGTCACTAAAGAAATATTTATTTTTTACCTCCTATCTGCTAGGCACTATTTTTAAATACTGAAGATGAGATGCTAAGACATACAACCAGCCCTCTTTGTAGCACTTATGTTTTTGCAGGAGAGAAATTTGAAGAACAGTGTTTTCACCCTGGGAAGAAGTGAACAGATAATCTGACGTGGGACTAGGAAAGATAAAGGATGGGTACAGGTAAGTGGGAAACAAAGAGATTTGGAGAGGAATGAAAGAGTTTTTTGTTTCATTTAGGAGAGAGAAGTCAAATATCATAATGCGAAAAGCGCACAAAACAGCTTGAAAATACAGAATAGAAAACATAACAAAAAAGGAGGTAGAATGGAATGAGTTCTGAGGAAATTAAAGAAAATAGAAACTTCACTTTTAAGAAAGTTGATGAGAGATAATTAACATTTCATAGTTAAACATTTCACCTATATTATATTAATAAAATTCTCATTTGAAGTGAAGGAGAATGCATTATCCCCACCTTAGAGAATTAAGCAGCATCACAAAGATGTTAAAGAAGTTATTCTAGGTATCAAAAGTAGTAAGTTGACAAAATGACATTTATTGATACTTAAAAAAAAAATTAAGTACCGAATATCATAATCAAGTCTCATATAAGGAACAAAAATCTATGCAGAAGATATACAAATAATGGTACTGATAATCACAGCAGCTCACCTCATGCCCTGGAGAGAGATGTTCCATGTCAGTTCGTAAACATCTGAGGCCAGGTAGAAAGTGATTTACCATTAAATCTTCTGAAATGACTTGAGACAAGGATGTTAAGGACTCTTTAAAAAACAAAATAGTATGTCCAACAGAATTTACATATAAAGAAGAAGCCCTCTTACATACTGCTATGGTATACTCATCATTCAGAGTAAAAAGGCTTAAAGTATGAGACTTCACTTGTGGAGTAAGTTATTTATTAAGAGTCGACTGTATCTATTCTCAAAAGTCTTTTTATGTCAGTGATATTCACCATCATTACATTTCCTAATTTAATCATGTTAATCTAATCAAGTGTTAAAATGAATATAATGTATGGAAAATAAAGCTTTGTTAAAAAAATTTAAATTTTTTTAAAAAAAAATACAAGCAAATTGATTAGTGTATTACTACTTAATTACTATATATATAAAGCAACTATAAAAGTTTTGGGGGAAATTATAAAGAAATTTGGCAAAATTCTATACTTAGTGTCAGAATGTTTCTGGATTCTTTTTAAAGAAGGTTAATTTGAAAATCATAGACAAGTGCGTTATGGATGTGACTTATCTGAAAAAGATGTTTAACTAGTCACCAGATTCACACCAAAGAAATGCCTCTGTCCTAAATTAATCTGGTTAGAGAAAATTCATTTATATAGTTTAAGTAGTTACTAAGGTATACTGTTTTCTTGGGCTACCTTTAACTACCCTGCTAAGCTGACTTTCTATTGGTCCTGAGTAAGCTGGATCAATAGAGTGCTGGTTATAATAAAAGTATTTGTTAAGTTTAATGTTACTTATAGTTTCTGCTTCTCTCTGCATTTTAGTTGATCATCTTGACATCCAAAGGGATTAGGACAGCACATACATTTCTCAATGAAAGATTCCACTTGTTTATTTGTATCTACTTTGGAATATTCTCACTTTATTCTGCTAGTCATTTGAAAACAGTATAACAAACTATTTTAAAATAGTCATTTAAGATTTATATGTAATATTACACATAAAATAAAAAAATCCAGTAAATCCATTTCCTTCAAAGATGGTTTAATTTTTTTGAAAAAATTATTACTTGATAAAGATAAATAATCAGTGCAATATATGAGTACTTCTTTGAAAAAAGTTTTAAATAGAAAGTTCTATTTAAAACAAAAGAAAGCTTTTATAATGAGTGACTTATAAATACAAATAAAAATAGACAAAGAAAGTTGCAATCTTATGGTTATATAGTCTTATTTAGATATAGATATGGGGAAAGCACCACCAAGATACAAGTGTAAGCGACCTTTGATTTAGTAGAGAGTGTGATCAATGGATTGAGAAGTTTAAGACATCTTCTTTTTTTTTTAGCACGAAGAGGAAAGTCCTGTCTTGCCTTTCTGCTTAGAGTTGGAGCCTGCTGTTTCCCCATGGAGATACAATTTTTCAAGTATTGAAAATTTATAGGTTATTTAGTCCTAGTTGATACTAGAAGTTGCTTCTAACTTATTAGTGCTCAATTATCAAAAAGCCTCTGACTGCTAATATGAGACATTGATAGTTTGGAAGGGTGTTCACTTCATTTTCAGTCTGATTATGAATATGTATTTTCCCTATAAACACTTGTACCTTACCACAGAGTGTCTAACCTTCATTCTATGGAATCACCTGTCAAATAACTATTAAGCTGTCTTTTCATCCCAAGCCATCCATTTTCCAGATTAAGAAATTCTAAATTCCTTCACTCTGTCTTAAACATGACTTCTTTACTTCTTATGCCAAATGTTACACATTACAATTTTTTTATGTCTCTATTAAAATATGATGTTAGGTATGATCAGCTCAGAATATAAAGATTTGGACAATGTGATTTTATTAATGACCAAACTACTCTGTTGACTCAGGTACAAGTTCTACCTCACATACAGCTAACACATTTAGTAGTTGAACAGGGACTGCTCATAAAATGGTGCTTTCATTTGCTGACCTGCTAAAAGACATTTATTGTATTTATTTGAGAAATAGCCTGTATTCTTTAAGATATATGATAATTTTTCTTAGCATCTATACTCTCCAGAAACAGCTGCCTTTTCCACTTGGAAAATTTTGTTTTCTGGAGATAAAAGTTTTGATATTTTAATTTTTCCCCTTTCCTTATTTATTATATTCCTTTAGAAATTATACATGGCCTATGGCTTAAGTCTTTAACATCTTTCATAGAATCAAATAAACATATCAGTATTTTCTTTGAGATGTAACTCTACATGCTATTATTATTTTCTTGCAAGGATACTGTCACATTCCTCTTATTAAAGTATTTCTTCCTTGCTCAATCAAAATATCTTTCCTTCTTTTTTCTTTCTTGTTTCCTCTATCTTCTGTTAAGTTCAAAAGTCAACAAGGTAAATCAGGAATTATAGTAAATTCTGCTTTTAGCAGAATTAAACCTATTAGAGACATGAGTATTTGAGGTACCAAACTAAGAAAATAAGGTGGCTCTACTCATTGTATAATGTTATGAAAAATATGGTTATATCATCTACATGATTAGGTCAGTGGCAGCAGATTCCCCAAATAAAATGCACTCAAGCATTTCAAGAACATGTAGCTCCTTAACAGATAGCTTTACTTTTCTACTCTTTCTCTTTATTTTGAACAATGTACAATATCCTGCTGTTAAATGCCAGTCACAAGTCCAGTAGCAGTGAGTCTTAGTGGAATTTTAGAACAGATTTATCTTATTCAAAATTATCTGCTTACCTTGTTCATGACTATGAAGTAGCATATAAAGTATAGAATCATTAATAACCCTCAAACTCTTTCTTGGTTCTCTTTTTTCTATGCATCACTAGGAAGTTTTACCATCATTTTTCCCTGCCATAATCATATTTTTCTGATTATATATAGCCTAGCATGTACTTTTATAGTTCTGCTTGACTATTCAGCCTTTTATTCTTTCTTCAATCTCATATTTCCTCTTTTCTGAACTCTTCTGCATTTTAATAAGAGAGCAGAAACCAGCATTCACTTGCTCATGTGCACTTCCTTCTTGGCTTTATTTTATTAGGCAAAGGACAGTAAAAATACTTTTTACAGGATGGCTAAAGTTCTTTGTTCCAGTTACAGTTTTGCTTTAGCTATGAAAAGCGGAAGTCACTAATGCCCTTACGCCTTGGTTTAATCATTTACAATATATTGGTTGATAAGGGCCTATATGACCTCCAAGTCCCTTCCTGGTTCTATAATTGCTGGAGATGATCAGCAATGTTGGCGTTGTATTTTTTTCAGTAAGAAAAATTCATAGTATTCCACTGGATACTGACAGGTAAACCTCACTGAAAAATTACAATGCCAAGACATATACAAAGTTTCCTTTTGATTAACAAAGGTCTTAGTTATAATTCTTCTGTTCTTTATTTCTTCCATATAATGAATAAGACATAAAACATTAGGTGAATGCCTTTGAAACCACAGAATACATGAATGGAAATTTTAAAATTAATTTTTAAGATCATAACATAGCTAGAATAAGTAAGGCAAATCATATAAAAATTCCAGTTTTCTATAATACTTATGTAAGTTTAAGAAAAAAGTTCTCAGTCTTTCATAAATAAGCTTCATTGTAAAACTGGCCACATAAAGGTACGTACACTTCAAAACAAGGATACAGCAACAGGAAAGTGCACTGTAGGCTTCAAAAAGATGGGTAGCAATATCCAGTCTTTTAGAATCCACAATTTGTAAGTTGTTCACCAAAGCTAACTTATGTAAATGTGGTATAACAACTAAAAAAGGAAAGAGAAATTGTTACATTTTTATCTCAAACATACAAACTCTTATTATTTTAATATGCAAAAGTTCATTCTAACGCTATGTACTTTCAAAAGGCTACTCACATTCTATGCCTGCCTTTTTTAACTAGGAAAGAAAGTATGAGAAACAATTTATATAGTATTATTCCTATTAACTAACTATAAGGTTGTCTATAGGTCATTTGGACTCATGTTAATTCACTAATTTCAAAAATACAAAACAAATACACACAACTTACATTATGTGTTACCTGTCCTTACAAAAGGCTCTTCATAAAAATTATCAACATATTAAAGACAAATGCAATACACTTATTTTTCAATAATAAATTATTCTAGCCCTTCACAATACTACACACACACACACACACACACACACACACGCATTAGGAGATTGAACCCTGGCCCCTGTGTCTGCCTAAGCAGACACTTTAATCCACTGAGCTATCTGGCCAGCCCCACAACACTGTTATTATCTTTGGTTTATCAAATTATTAGCAAATACCAGTATCAAATAGCACTGGTGGGTAAGTCTTCAAATCCCCCAAATTGGGTTTAATACCTTTAAAGAATAATGTAAAAATTCAAAAATACTTCCTACTGCAATGAAAACAAAGGTCTAAGAATGATACCCAATGCAGTAGCAATGAGCACACATTGTACCTAGGATTGTGTTGTCTGCATACCACTTCTCAGTAAAAGCAGGATTTTTTGAAGAACTGGCTTTAGAGTTAGGAATTGTTAAATTGGTGTCTTATACAACTCCTTTCTAGGCTTTGCTTGGTTAGGGAACACAAAATGTCATTCCAGCAGATTGCTGACCATCTGGTTTGCAATGAGCCCATGTATGTAAATTCAATAGGTTTCCTCTGAAAAACCTTCTGTTTCCTAAATAAAACCAGGCTACAATCACAACTTTTTTGCTCAGCTTAGTAAATGGCAAAACAAAACTTCATAGAAACTTAGAATTAAAATGGGCATTTTAAAGGGTCTTTTTGACTTGTTAAAGTGAGTATTAGCATTCTTAAAATGAGCTCTAAAAAAACGAAGATAAAAGCTCTAAACATTCAGTTGACAGTTTCACTAATTAGTATTTTTAAAATTTTTAAAAAACTATTTATTTATTTATTTATTTATTTATTTATTTATGTGTGTGGCCAGCTCAGCCCACCAGGGGGCGGGGCTAGCTGGCATGTGGTGCTGGGGGATTGAACCGAGGTCCCTGTGCTTTGCTACACTTGTTCTAAGTAGGTGCTTTAGACCACTGAGCCATCTCACCAGCCCCTTCACTAATTAGTATTAAAGCCCTCACCAGAATGCTTGGTCTTAGTTTCTCTCACCAAAGACTATAATTATTTCTTCTCAGTCTTCTGAAATTCACCTCCCCTAAACTTCATCTACTTATGCATGGGTCCCTCTTTTTCCTTTTGTTTTTAAGTTTCTGAACTTTGTTCAGTTTTTCTCAGGAATGGAAAAATTATACTGTACAACACCCCTTAAAATCGCCTCCCTAGAAGACAAATCTACAGAATTTAGTTTAAAACTCTAATCTTGGGTTATAAGGGCCTTCCTAGTTCTCAAAAATATAAATTTAATACAGAATTGAGGATTTCACTATTTCTATAATATCTTGAGCTACAGTTGTATAATGAATTCACTTGTTACCCATCAGATAGATGTAAATGACTAACAACAGTAGGACATTAAAGACTAGAAGAGTGAATAAGCCTAGTGGGCGTAATTCTGAAATTAAGCTTTAGTAGGAAAATAAAACAGAGGCCAGGGAGATGGCTCAGTGGAATAAGCGCTTCCCTGGCAAGCGCAAGGCCCTAAGTTCAATACCCAGTTCCGCCAAAAAAAAAAAAAAAAACAATCACTGTAGAACCCCTATTTCTTTTATTTTTTTAAAAGGCAAATTGAGGAAAGACCTAAAATTGAAGGGGGGAAAAAAAAAAGGCCAGCCAATAGATGGATTTATTTTATTTATTGATTGATTTTTCCCTTGAGACAGGGTCTTATTTCTGCTTCTAAGTTTCTGAAAATATTCTATGATAGATCCAAAAGTTCAAGTAAAGGAAATCTTGCCCCCCCTTTTTTAATGTATACAGACCTGAAATAAGGAACTCAGAAAAAAACTAATCCAAAATGGAAAACCTATCCTTAAGAAAATCTTCAAAGCATGAATGAATATTTTCTTTTTTTTTTTTTTTTTAATTTTTATTTATTTTGTGTGTGTGGCCAGCTCAGCCCATCAGCGGGGCTGGCTGGCATGTGGCGCTGGGGGATTGAACCGCGGTCCCTGTGCTTTGCTAAGCTTGTTCTAAGTAGGTGCTTTAGACCACTGAGCCATCTCACCAGCCCCATGAATGAATATTTTCAAAAAAGTTTTATAAAATTAAATGGCTGAAAAAAAAGGGTACATGTTTCAGATGAAACATCTGATTCTTCAAATCAAGACCAAAAGTCCTGTGATAACAATTGGGAAAGAACATGGGCTCATGAAAGAATACCCTCTACTAAGAAATAGAGGTACTAAACAAATATAACATTACCCAAATGCTACTCCTTAAGAACAACATTAACACATTAAAGTTTTTATCCTTCCTCTAAACTCCAAAAGAGATCTATAAATAACATTCTTTTTGGTATGTATTTTGCTTTGCCATGATAGTCATTTTCACTGTCTCTCTTTCTCCCTCCCCACCACCCCTTAGGTTTTGTTTTCAGGAGTCCTGCTGGCTGCCCAGACGGGACTCAAACTTGCAATCCTCCTGCCTCAGTCTCCCTCAGAGCTGGGATTATAAGGGTGTGTTACCAGTGCCCTGATTACCATTACTTTATAACATAAAGAACATTAAATTACTAAAGGTAAAGTTTTAAAGCAAAACAAACAAACCAACAAAAAAACCCAAATTAAACCAAAAAAACCCCAAAACAAATAAACAAAAAAAACCCAATCATTCATCTGACCAGGAAATAAGTTCAAAGAGAAAAAGGAGGGGAGAGAAGCAATTTAAAAAAAAAAAAAAAAAAAAAAGATCTGGCTGTGTCAGAATGTCAAAAGTAGATTTTATCAGACATATTTTCTGGTATATAGTAGATTATAAGGAAACTTCAGGGATAATGGTTTATAAGATTTATTCAAGCAGTGAGAATTTCTATTCTAAATGTTTTTTAAAGTCCACTTTTTCCCCCTTTTTTTAGGGGGGAGGGGGCCAGCTCAGCCCACCCTGAGGTGGGACTGGCAAGGCATGTGGTGTGGGGTATACAGGTGCTTCAGACTGCTGAGATATCTTGCTGGCCTTAAAGCCCACTTTTAACTGTTATTTTGGGATCATTTTTAGAAAAATTATTTTCTGTTATGCAAGTCTATAAATTTAATAGGTAGGCATCCAGTCTACAAATAAAGCTGTCAAATAAAGCAGTATGGTTACTTCTAAAAATTTGTGAACATTCTAGAAAGAGACATTAAGATGCAGACAGTATGGTTAATTTGAGAAATAACTGTAGTCCTAGCATTACCAAAGATAAGACTAAAGATATATCAAAATAATGGAGCAGAGCTTAAAGGAATACAGATTTGATTATTCCTAGCTAATCATAAATCTCTATGAAATACATATAAAAAGATTTTAACTGAACAAAATGGCACAAGTCACCCATTACTTTGCTTATTTCTCAATTTAGGAGCCAAGAATAACTCTTGGCTTCAGAATATCAGTGATATCAATGCATTTTGTACTCCTACTAGGACTGTCTATAAGACATGTGAGGTTATTTCTACTACTAACTAAAAATACAAACCCTTTCCTGTTGGTTGTCTAATCATGAAAATATCCAGTTAAAAAGAATCTTATTTGTGTTTCTATGGTTTGGTACTTACCCATGTACTCAACAGGCCTTTTGAACACTACAGTCCAAATATTGACTTAATATTTTTGTTGATGACTTTTATCTTAAAATGGCAAGACATAATTAAGCTGGATATACATAAATCAATCTATTGGAGAGTCCAATTTTGTAGCAGAAACTAAAATGACTTAAGTAACTGATGCAGTGGGCTTCTCTAAGGTATGTAAAACTGCTGACAAAATACTTGAAGTATAGCAGTGATAACTGATATACTTTTGCAGCAGTAATCCTGGATGACTTGATGCTACTCAAACTGTCAAAAGAGTAGAAACATAGTAAAAGAGACAAGTTAGAGTTTGGGATGTATCTTAGTAGTACAGCACTTGCCTAGCATGTACTAGGTTCAGGGTTTAATCTCTAGCACCACAAAAAGAAAAAGCAATTATAGAAAATGCTTTAAGATAATCATGCACATCACTTATATGATCCATAAGCTATGACTTAAAAGTGACGTATCATGCTGATAGCATGGTCAAGGGGAGAAATGTGTATTTCTTGCAAGAACATGCCTAAAAACAAACAAAACTTTTTTTTGTGTAATTAGTATGAGGTCTACAGGGTCTCACTATATACATAGGATTCGTAGTGATCCTGTTTTCAGCCTCATATGTGCTGGTATCTTCTGTTGTCTCATTACCATATCACAGATTGGCCTTACAATCCAGAAGCTTCTTTTCTGTGGCTTGATAACTCTTGGATCTTATTCATCTGGCTACTGAAACATAAGATACCATCCAAAAATTTTCTGATATCTTTGTGTTTGACTGTTGTGGCTTGCTGAATCAAAGCAGCTGAATTTGAAACAAACTCAACGTCATCTCTTTCAAGGATTAGTTGATCTTTCTGGGCTTGAGATACTAAGCAAGCAACACCTGCCCTCATACGAACTCCACACTTGTATTTTTCACCCAAGAAATTCCAGATTTTGACAAGAGAACAAGTCTCCTGAAAAACTATGTTGACAGAGAAGCAAGCATACACAGACCTCATCTTGTAATGGAAGCCCAGTGTAACACCCTTGATCATGTTCTGCATATGACCACAGATCGTGTGAATGGTAGTCAGCTCCTTTCTGTTTACCCAACATTTGTCAACCTGTAGCCTCTTCTTTTTCTTCCCAAGGAGACTGATTTTTTACATTGATGTGGTTGAAGTCCCTCCACAGGTTCTTCTGAGGCCCTTCACAATAACTGCATTCCTTCGGAGTGAGGTTTGACATTTTCTGTAATGCTGACAGTGTGATTGCTGAGAATGGTGTTCATTCTTGCAGGTGATGCAGCGAAGAAAGAACGCTGGTGATATGTTTCTACTATACCTTACAGTTTAGAGTTACTTTTCATATGTGTTATAGCAACTGGTACGTAGTATAGGAAAACCATCTACTAAAAGCAATACTGATTAACTCACAAAAATAACACTTTTGAGTTCAACTTTCAGTACACAGAAGATAAAGTGCAGCAAGACTTTAACACATGACAGATCCTCAGAGAAGCTTCTGGCTATGATCTTACAATTTAGGACAAAGGCACAGAAATGCAACTTACACTCATCTCGGAACCTGGGTTCTGCATTAGGTCCAACTCTACCAAATGTTTTTATGATCTCCGTATGCAAAGAATGCTGGTCTTGATACTGCGGGTCTTCCAGGAAAGAAGCCAACTGCATTTTCACTCTTTCCAGCAACTTAAGAGTGAATATTATAAAGTCATTTTATAGACTATTAAAAACTGAGTAGTGCAGCTAAAACAAAAGATACACATTAAGCATTGCTTGCAGCAGGATAGTCACATGGTGTGTAACTCCATAGTAGTAGAAATGTGGAATTAATTACTTATGTATTTGTGTTTATGCTTGTTAAATCTTATTTCAAAAATGTAAATATTCACTGACAAAGTTTAAAAACAAAAGGAAAACACCCCACAATACTTAGGGGAAAGATCATTTTATGATTTTGTATCTAATATATAATTCTTAAAATAAATTACAGTGTAAGTTACCCAATTATTCACCTCCTGCAAGTAATGAGTCATTAATGAGTTATATCTTACTCACAGTTCCTTAAAAGACATTTTTATTTTAGGATTTAAGAACATGTTGAAATTCTGCCAAAACTGCAAGCATTGCAGAATGATATCCTTTTTTTCTGTTGCTTCATCCATGAAATACATGTTAAAAGGAAAGTATTTTTTCTATAACAAAATTTATAACTTTTATTATAGAAATCGTTATGAAAGAAATTTTATTGAATTTTTTCTTTTTTAAATAAAATGTCCATCAAATGGAAAAAACTTCTTTCCTTAAGTGATTAGATAGTATGTCCACAAATGATTTATCTCCTAACACACAGGGTTTTTCATTTATATAAAAAAGAATATGTTCAATATGATAACAAAAAATTCTGATCCTAATTTTGAAAAGTAAATTACAGTCAATGTTGCAAACAGTTTTAAAAAACTTGAAATTATTTTCAGAATTGAAAGGGAGGAAGGAAGACCTTGGTAGACTAAGGAAAGGAGGCACAGAGAAATTTTGTACAGTGATATTTAACAAGATGACACACACTAGTCTACTAGATTACTTTCAAGGCTTCAGTGTCACAGTTGTTAGAACATGTGCCTGCCTTCCTTTGTATGTATTCCTGAGATTTGTGTTCCTGATTTTATATAGCAAAATAATGTTTATATTTGTGTAAACTGGCAATCAAAGAATTTATGTAGGTTGGCCAGAAGTCTATGTAATAATGGAAGGTTTGGACATTAGACTTGATTTGGAAAATTATTCAAAACTGCAATATCTTGCTAAGCTTAAAATAGAATATTTTAAGGACTGGCTAAAGTTGAGAAGACTATAGCAATGAAATATGAAATAGCTCTTAGAATGGGGAAATCTACCAACTAATCAGGCTATCCTGCTTTAATACTGAGTTCCTCCTCTGGCCCTTACCAATGAATAAACACCACGAAAGGTATGATTCCCCTTGCCTCTAACTTGAGGTATGTGTATGATAATTTGTCATCAATCATTTTAATAGTACATACATATAAATGTATTTTAATTATTTCCTACCTCTCTCTGAATAACCGTTTCCATAATGGTGCCAAAGGCTGGAATTGTCGCAATCCTGACAGAGCTGTTAGAAATTAAAAAAGAAAGAAACTGAACTTCGAGATTTTTAAAAAATGTATTCTATTCAAATGTGTATCAAATTAAGAACAAGGTAAAAAATACTATATTAGTCTCTAGCAATGACAAATTAAACTTTTAAAAAAGCAGACCAAGGAGAATGCTCAAAAAGACAGGCAGGGAACTTAAGGTCGCAGTCTATGAAACTCACAATTCAGGATCACTGGACAAGGTAACAAGGGCCGGAGCAACCCGCTTGTCAACTAACGCTTCACTCATGCCTCGAAGAGTCAGCTGTAAACCAGTCAACATGCAATAAAAAATGGTTTGGTAAACTGGAATGAGAACTGGGTTAGCTGTGACTGAGGATGGGCAGGACTCATTGGCCTTTCTTGGTTTAGTCACCCACATGGGACATTAAAATGTTATGCCTTTGGTTCATGCCACTACACTTACTGGGTACAACTTGTTAATAAGATTAGCAGAGCATCCTTTCTTGGCTTGGAAGAAATAGTCCATCAGCAGGCTTTAGGTTTTGAAAAGTTTATTGTGTATTACAGTGTCTAATATTCTTTTTGTCAATATACTGCCTCCAAATTAGGCTTACTATGAGGGTTGATTTAAAAAGTAACAAGAAGATATGCAAATAGCAAGATGATAAAAGCCAAAAATCATGCATAATCCAATATTATTATTTTAAAGAGATTATCTAATAAATTTCAAAGCTGATGGTTATTTCCTGACAGGCACATTTTGAAAGGGATGCTGAACATACAAGGCAGGGATGACACTTACATTTCAGGGTCGCTGGAGAGAGTAATGAGAGCAGGAACAACCCTCTGAGCTACCAGAGTTTCATTCACCCCCTTCACCAACAGCTGATTGGTCAGCACAGGGGGTATTCACAGGTGATGCAGGGAAAGAGCAAACACAGGGTGCCATGGGAAGAAGAGAAGAACAACCAAGAGAAAGAAAACACAAAGGCAAAACCAAAATTAGAAGCTAAGCAAACATAGCTATGAGATTGCTTTACAAAGGCAGAGAATGCTTGGGAGGAAAATAAAGCTTATAGCCTAGGAGTCCACAAAAAGAGATGCTGTCACCAATTCAATGGTAGTTTGTACTTTTGGTTAAAAGTCTACTTTATTTCCATATTTACTTAAGATACAATATAAAAAGGTTATTTTTTTAAAAAAAATAAGGTAAAAGAGGATACATATTTTGTATGGTTAAAATTCTAAATTAAACCTAGTGTGACTTTATTTTGACCAACAAAGTACAAACTGGATTGCTTTCAAACCAAACTCAAATAGCTAGCAGCTACCAGTGAACTGCTTATGACTATTCTGCAGCAAGTAAATTAAGAATTACAGAGGAAAATTCCCAACCTTTAAATCCCATAGCTTTCTTTTTTGAAGCACAGAAACACAATGCAGCAAAATGCTTCTAGAGTTATAATACTTGGAAATCAGCTCTGGGTTCAGATTCCAGTTCTCTCCACTTATTGGCCTTCTTAGATACATACATCACATAATCTCTTAAAACTCAGTTTTCACATATGAAAATGGTGATACTATTATCTGACTTAAAGCACTACTGTGTTATCACTTAGCACATAAGTAAAATACTATACATGATAAAGACTGTGCATTCAATAAGTGAGCATTTAATTATTGTGATGTCAAGAAAAGAAGTATATATACGTTATTCTGTATAACTGGGAAAGGGACTTGGCTTTTGCACTAAGTTACATCCCCAGCCTTTTTAATCTTCTTACTGTATTTTGAGAAAGGGTCTCATTAAGCTCCTAAGTTGCTGAGGCTAGGCGTGAATTTTGGATCTTGTTTCAGCCTCCCAAAGTGCTGGGATTGTGGGTGTGTGCCACCAGACCCAGATTAAAAGTGTATGATCTCTGACATACTTGAAAAAGTAAATTGTTTAATTAAAAACTGTTGTGGTTAACCACTGTTTTATATTTCTCTAGAAAGGGCATACAAAATTTAAAATATGTTAAATAGAATTAATGTATCTCTGTATCTAATTATAAAAAAGAACTCATTTAGCAAATAAAGCTAATTTGCAAACAGGAGGACCATACTGAGCAGTATTCATTTTGTTTCCATAAATATTACACAATTTTGAGTTTAATTCCTCCATAATGTCAGAATGTAAGCACAATGTAATCCTCAATACTAGCCTACCTGTTCACTGAGTAACGGCACTCATCTTAATAGACCAAAGACGCCACAGAATTTTTAGTAACAAAATTCTGTTATGTGATACTCCGCCTATAGAGCACATCAGAGTGAATAGCCCATTTTATTGAAAATACTTACTTTTGCAATATTCTGTTACTAATTATTAACTGGTTAATGTTAGAATCTACTCCATCATTCTGAAGTAATTTTCATTCAAAACATAATTAGGCAGGAATAAAATAATAAAAACTTTTATCATTCTCTTAGATACTATAGATGTCAGGTAAAAACAAAATAAAGCAATTCAAATACTTTTTAGTTAAAACTTTCTTCTTTTGTACTGTAATAAGATAGCTTGGATGTGAATTAGTAAAGTTTATCTTGAGATGTGTGCTACCTCACTGTCACCAAAAACATTAAGATGATTAATCTAGGAGACTAGCTAACTTTTCATTGTTGTGGGGACCTTAAATTAAATTTCCTTAATGAAGCTAGAAAATCAGAAAGTAAACTAAGAGATAATAATTTTTACATAGTGGATCGTTTGATCTTTATACTTGATGAAGTAAATACAAATATTGTCAGTATTTTAGCAGATGAAGAAATTGAAGGTTAGAGAAATAATTTGTCCAAGTTATTACAGCTTTGATAGTGGAGCAAAAACATGGACTCACTCTTGCCTGACTTAAGTGTTGAGGTCATCCATAGGCAGTGGTCTAACATTAAAGGTTAAATTTCCTCATGACTGATAAATAATTACATGGAATTCTTCTGTGCATCTTTCGGAAAATGTCATACTAAAAGTCACTTAATAAATTCCTCTTCTACATTTATTTTGTTAAGCTGCTGCTTCAAGAAGTAAGAAGGGTCCTCTTGTTTAACAGTGGGACTAATGTAACTGATTGAGTTATTCATTTTTTTGGCCATTCAACTAAAATTTAAGCTAAATTTGGTATTCATTTTTCGTATTTCACATTAGGTTCCTGGTACATCTACTTCTCAAGAGATTTTGATTTCACTTTTTTATAGAGTTATTTTAGGGCTGGGCATAAGGACCTGCCTCACAAGTGCAAGGTCCCAAGTTCGATCTCTGGTACCACAAAATAGTTACTTTAAATATGCTGTTTTTATGCTTTTACTTTGAATAAACTCATTTTGAGGGGCACCAGGCATACTTCTAAATTACAAAGCAAGACTATAAAGGGAAATCTTATGAACCATATTTTTTAAAAATATATTTTTCTTTTAAATTTTTTACTTTTTTTTGTGAGGGGGGAACGGGGATAGATCTCAGGACCTTACACTTGCCAGGCAGGAGCTTAAGCTGCTGAGCTATCTCCCCAGGGCATGAACCATGTTTTAGAAATAAATTTCTTTCAAAATTAGGATCACTAGCAAAAACTAAGAACTTTTTATTTTACTGATATGGCTCAGTAAAATTTTTTAACAGTTATATTTGAAAAAATATTCAAGTAGTTTCTCAGCTACATTCAAGTGTATAAGGAAACTACACATATTACGAAAACTGATCATGCATAGTAAGTATGGCTTCCAGGGCTGCACTGACAACAAACATAAAACAAAACCAAACAAAACCTACAAAGAAGATCCAGGGCAGAAAAACAAAACAAAAATCAAACAAGTATATATATTTAAAAAAAGAAATGGAAGCTTCATTTTATTTAAATTATTTTCATTTACATGGCATGCTTCACCAGTGCATACATAAATTTTAGAAACTATGCATGCACACGGGTAGTTTAGCAACTTCAGAAATTTAAGTAAAAGAAATTGTTTTATGGTCTTAGAATGAAGTCTCATGAAAAGACTGTATTAGAGAAATGGCTCTCAGCAAGGCATGGTGCTATATACCTGCCATCCTAGTACTCTGATAATCAGTTCAAAGGTCCTAGGTTCAATCCCTATTACCAAAAAAGAAAGGAGAAAGAAAAAAATCTATTCATTTTTCATTTATAAGAAATTTTTCCTTCTGAGAGAGAGGAGAGAAATGAATTTTTTTAATGGTAATATCTCTTATCAGAATATTATATAATCAAAATTATTAATATCTACAGGGAGCTTGTACTAGACACAAAAGCAAACTATCTGAGTTCGATTCCCAGTATAAAAACAGAAATCTGAAAAGCAAGTTGTTGGCATTTACCTTGACAAAGTCCTTGATTATAGATTTTTGATCAAAAATGTAATACTTAAGATAATAACATAGATAGAGGAGTGTCAACTTCTTATTAACAATGAATTTCCTGGGGCCTGCCCCTTAGCTCAGTTGTTTAAGTGGTTGCTTCAACAAAGCAGGCAGCCCCAGGTTGCTGTAGTTCGATCCCCACAACTCCAGCCAGCCAAACATGCCCTGAAGGAATTCTGAGCCAGCCCCCTCCTCCAAAAAAAATCTTTCTGCCATTTTTTCTCAATAAAATTATGGAAAAAAGGAATAATAATAAAAAAAAGAATGGATTTCCTGGGCTGAGGAGATAGCTTGGTGGTCTAAGTGCCTGCCTGGCAAGTGTAAGGACCTGGGTTCAATCCCAGGTACCACATGTTGTGCCGCCATGCTGGCCACTGAAACTAGGCATGGTAGTGTACGCCTGTAATCTCAGTGCTGAGGAAGTTGAGACAGGAGGATCACTATGAGCCTGAGCTGTGTAGCGAGACCCTGTACCAAATAAATAAATTAAAGATTAAAAAAAAAAAAGGATTGCCTTTAGATTCATGAATGTACCTTATATACTCATAAATTTTAGAAAGCAACGTTTTTTTGTTTTGTTTTTAGAGATGGCTCACTATGTAGGTCAGGCTAACCTTGGACTCATAGCAAATTTCCTGCCTCAGACTGCCTAGTGCTGGGATTATAGGTGCATGCCACCACACCTGGCTAGAAGCAAATATTTTAAATGTAACAGTAGCCTACCTTTCCAACTGCAAATTATCTTAAATTACAGAGAAATTCTGAAATTGTAGAAGACTGAATTACTTAATTCTTTTTATGGAAGTAACTGCCTTAAAATAGTTACGAATTCACATGCACATTAGGAACATCTTTAGCTTCAGTAAGTATATATTCCCTATATTTTTACATTATTTTGAAAACTGACAACATGGATAAAAAATAATAAAGTTAATATTTATTATAAACTCTTGTGTTCCAGACACTGTGCTAAGGGCTTTTGAAGCATTAATTCATTCAATATTAACAAAATTTGGGCTGTGGAGATAGCTCAGCAGTCAAAGCACCTGCCTGGCAAGGCAAGGACCTGGGTTTGAGCCCCAGGACCATATGTGTGCTGGCCCTGGGATCCCGGGTGTGCTATGCCAGCCACTGAAAGCGGGAGTGGTGGTGCATGCCTGTAATCCCAGGGAGGCTGACAGGAGGCACTATGAGTCCAAGGTGCGTAGCGAGACCCTGTACCAAACGAGTAAATAATTTTTAAAAAAATGTAATATATATATATATATATATATATATATAAAAATCTTATGAAATGGTTACTTTTTTATTATCGTTATCATTTTGTAGATGAGGAAACTAAGCTGTGGAGAAGTGCAAATTGGCCCAAGTAACTTTAGGTCACTAGGTGGCAGAGATAGAAATTGAACCCAGGCAGCCTGGTTCTATGGTAACTCAAAAGGATCAAGAAACATTAAACCAATTAGAAATCTCAAAGTTGAAAACACATGTATTTATAAAACATATAATAGGCTATAACATAATTTGATATTTGATGGGCATCCTACATAGGTAATTTTCATGTTTAACTTTGGTAAGTAGAAATTTAATGAAATTGTGGTAAATTATGATAATTTTATCAGTCCATTAGCATTTAATGCATAGGAGTATTATTCCAGAAGGACTAGTGAAGGAATAATGAAGCAAGCCTAACGAGTAAAATAAATATTTCCATAATTGCAATAATTCAGTTTTTAAATGCTTCTAATGAATTAAACAACTTGAAAGATACCATTGTTGTAGTTTATTTTTAGTAACCATTTACCTCTATAAGTAGAAACATAGAACCAGAAAGATTAAAACAGGATAGAAATTAAATAAGATTTAAAGCAGAATTTGAAAGATAGAACTGATTAATAGAGAAACATTTAAGGAAACTGTAAAAGCTAGGAAATTCCTAAATACATCAAAGCTAAAGTTCTGCCCCTCACACAGTACACAACTAGACAATAGTTAAAGCCATAATACATTAACACAATATAGTATGCAAAGCTTGTTTTAAAAAAAACTTCCCCTTCTTTACCAGAAAAAATAAAAAACCCTGCTAAAACTGAAAGCAGTATAAGCACATGCTGCCATACCTCAAACATTCTAGCAGCAGTACATCTCACGAGTGCAGAAGTATGGACAACACCATACCACAAAACAGTTAACAGTAACTCATGGTAGGCTGGATTTGCACTGGAAGAAAGATATCAGTGTTAAAACACAGAGCCATCGTGCCTTATTCGTGTACTGAAAAATACTATGTGCAAGAACAATTAAGGAATGAGAAAAATGTTAGCAAAACACATGGAATTATACTGCATGGCTTAGTAGGCCACAGCTAAGCATCTTTAAAAATGAAAATCACCTTATAAAATCACAAACCATATTCAGAAATCACACTTTTAGTTTCTCTAAGCATTTGCAATTCTGACAGAAGTTCTAATAAAGATAAAATTTCTAAAGAAAAATAAAATTTCTTTATAACAAAATATGGAAGAGCACTGGACCAGAAGCGAGATAGGTAAGTTACATTTCTGTGGCTATAGCTTCTGAGGAAGCAATAAATGCCCTATTTATGTCATGCGTTGTAGTAGGTTCAAATAAGATAAATTCAAACATATATATGGATGGCTATGTTGTATGAAGCTTATCCAAATGTGAGATGGTAACCTTAATAAATGTATGCGTCTATTTTCAGTAAAGAGTGAGACAAAGCTACTTTAGGAACCAGGTAACATAATTAACAGCAAGACTAAGGCACTTGAACAGAAAAGAATAAGGAGTCTAAGAATCTCTCATTCAGGTGAAGATCCCTTCAGTTATAGAAACTGTATTTTTTGGGAAACTTCTCGAGTCAAATTTTGAATTTCTTCAAAGAAAATATGCCTATTTACTTTTTAATCCAATTTTGAAAATTACTATTTTTTCATTTTTTAAATGTATTTGGTACAGGGTTTCACTACTTCGTTCAGACTTGTAGTGATCCTCCTGTTTTCAGCCTCCCCAGCACTGGGATTACAGGTGTGCACTACAATACCCAGACTTAGTCACCAGTGCGCCCCGGAGGCAGGGCTGGCATGGCACGTGGGACTGAGGATTGAACCCTGGTCCCTGCCCTTGCCAAAGCAGGTGTTTAGTCCACTGAGCTATCTTGCCAGCTGAAAATTACAATGTATTCATTAGAAAACATTAAACATTTCCACATAAAGAAAAATAAAAAAATCCAGGGATGTGGCACATGTCTGTAATCTCAGCACTTGGGAGCTAAGACATGAGAATCACTGTGAGTTTGAGGCCAATCTGGGTTATACAGTTAGTTCAAGGCCACCTGAAACTACATACCAAGACCATGTCTCAAAAAACTAAAGCAAGCAAACAAACAAGTCCTAAGTCTAAAACCCAAAGTATGGGCTGGGGAGACGGCCCAGTAGAATAAACGCTTGCTTGCCTGACAAGTGCAAGAGCCTGAGTTCAACCCCCAGTTCCACAAAAAACAAAACAAAACAAAAAAGAAAAATTAAACTTAAGAGAATTGTTGTACAGACTTAAAATATATGCATTCCACAAATGCAAGATGAACTTTGTATGTTCCCCCATACATTCCTGGGTACTAGGAATTGGACCCAGATCTTTGAGCTACATATTCCAGCTCATTTTCTATTTAGAGACAGGGTCTCATCAAGTTTCTAAGTTGTCCAGGTTGGGTTTGAATTTGCATCTTCCTGCCTCCACCTTCCAGAATGCTAGAATTAGATTATCGGTGTGTGCCACCATGCCTGGCTTCATAAGCCTTTTATTAGCTTGTTTGCTTGTTCATTTATTTTCTCTCATTGTTGAAGCATATAATAACCCTTTCCCTTCTCCCTTTCTGGAAAACTCATCCTGCTTCAATCTGGATGGGTGTTCCTTAAAACTTAAAACAGTCTTAAAACCTAAAATTGAACTCCCCATTGCCATCACTGTGGGGCTTCTCTTCTTTGTGTGGTTTTTTAGCTCCCCAAGTCTTTTATATAACTTTAAAAAAAAAATAAACTTTTTACCCCAGTTCCACAAAAGAAGCCTTCAGGCTGTCAAGAGGAGCATGAGATAATGAAAGCAGAGTCATTACATCTTCTAAGAATCCAACTAACAGTTTTCGATCTTCTTCCTATAGAGGAAAAATACTGATAATGAATTTCCAAGCAATCAAGTAGTATTAAATATCAAAATTACCTCCCTATAATTAAAAAATGTTACCAATAAGGGGAAATATTCTAATTAGAAAAATAAAGATACTTGTTAAACATATCTATAATCATGTCCTATGGTAAAAATATCTAACTCCTATGGTATGAAGTCAAAGAGCATTTAATTTTTTGATTTAGATGTGTGGTTTCCAATACAGTAGACATTGATCCACATGTGATTTCAGGAGTGCAGTTTGAGAAAGGGTCTCACTACATAGCAGTTCAGACAGACCTTGAATTCACTGTGTAGTCCAGGCTGGCCTTGAACTCATGGCAATCTTGCCTCAGCCTTCCAAGTGCTAGGATTACAGGTGTATGCCATGATGTCCAGCAGAAAATATTATTTTGTTTTTGTTAAGAAATGTCAGAAAAAGCAAACATGTGAAATTAGGAAATTTAAGAAAAACATTGCATCTTAAACTAATCTGAAATCTGTAGGAAAAAGGCATGTAATACTATATTAGGAAACACAAATGTGTTAAGTTAAAATGAAGTCATTAAGAATGTAGAAGGTCAACAATAAATAGCTTCTGAATATATCAAAAGATGCATAAGGAAGACTGGGTTACTTTTTATCATTTCTTTTCCATATAAGTTAGCTTTGAATGAGGTCAAGTAAAGGACAAAAAAGAAGAAAAAGATTCATATGAAAAAGGGAAAGATATAGCAGTTTTAAAACATGATAGGCTACTTAATGAGAAGGTATTGGCTTCAAAGTGAAATTGAAAAAAGAGATTTTACCCATTTTTAGTTATCTACTATGTCTACACATAAGTGAAGAAATTATAAAGGAGTGATAAAATAGTTCTAAATGAGCATGCGTTTTGAAAATTTTGATTTTGAAACTTTACTACCTCAGTTTTGAAATTCTAAAAGTAAGCAATACTGATTATGTATTTGATCAAAGATAGTTGCGTTTAACACCAAAAACTGTTTAGTAAGAAAAAATATTAACTGCTGGTGTATGTTTTCTTTCATTATCTCAATTTACTAAGTACTTCTAATCGGACAAAGTTATTTCTTTAGAAATATAAATAATGCATTTGGACTTCATACTGATTCAAAAGACATATCTTTGTTATTTATTCTAAAATCTATTCTGAGGGCTTACACTTCGCAGTACCCTGTACCTGATTCTTTATCATATTTTAAAGTGGTATTTATGGTCAAAATAAAAATACAAACCAAAAATTCTGAAAGTGAGAGAGGAAGGAAGGGGGAAATGGACGGTGAGGGGAAGAGGGAGAGATTGTATCAGACTTATGATTCTGAACAGCTTCTAAAGTAAAGAGAACAGTATACATACTATTGTGTCTTGCCCTGTGTGAGAATCCATCATTGATCTTCACCAATTTAAAGCAACAGAGACAATCTATTAACTCTGCGACTTTTAACACTGTATTCACATTATAAGATAGTCTTAAAAACTTACGTTGAACTGTGCTTTTGAATAGAATTGGAACATCTATTGCAAAGTATTATGTGATACTATAAAACTGTTCTTTTCAATACTTTAATAAGATGATTCAAATCTGTTCTGGGAGAACAGTGTAATAAATATGAATTGATGTACTTTGAATTTAAAGGGCAGAATTATTGTGGGTGAAAATTCAAGAAACTCTTAACAAAGGTGTTTCTACCTCATTTTTACATTCCTACATCTAAAAATGGTTTATCAGGAGACTACATAAGGTAGGAATGTTTCACACTCAAAAATTACCCATGCCCTGAGATACATCATATGTTATTTATTCAGAAGAATAGTAAATAGACCATGGCAGTCTGTTATTGGTGGTAACCAAAGAACTATATTCTTAGTATAAACCTTGGCTTGATTCATGAGTCTGGGCTGCATTTATGACTAATTTAATTAAACCAATATACTGCCATGGAAGTAATGATGCACTAATTCCAGGTCTAAGCTTTAGTCTAGCAGATTCTGCTTTTGCACCCACAGGAGCCTATAGCAACCAGATAATAAGTTCTGGTTCTGCTGCTCTACAGGCCAAAGGGGAGAGAGCGCCTCCTAGAGTTCTGCCATTCTAGCTGAGAGCCCATCAAAAAAAAGCTTAATATATCAATAATAAGCAACTACCAGTAAGATTAACACGAGAAAAGCCAGCTTGGCAAAACTCAAATTTCAGAATCATGAGTAATTAAAATAGCTTATAACTGTTACAAGCTACTATGTTTTTTTTTTTTTTTTTTTTTTTTTACTATGTATTGTAGCAGTTACTACATAATAATGACTAAGAAAAATAGAGTATTGGTAAAAACTACTTTGCCAAAACAGTAAGTATGCCACAGCATGTTAGGAGTTTGCTTCACCTAACACTTTTTGTCATTTATTTATGAAAAACATAATGAAACAAGAGAAGCTGCTAAATAAGTGCAATCTAACACTAATAAAACATTTTGAAAAGACAATCTTTTTTTTTTTTTTTTTTGTATTTTAGAACAGGGTCTACAGGGTCTCACTGTGTATGTAGATCAGACTCATAGTGATCCTCCTGTTTACAGCCTCCCAAGTGCTGAGATCACAGGCGTGTGCCACCATGCCCAGTCTCAGTTGCCATCTCAGCCCGCCCTGGGGGCGGGGCCTGCACAGTAGGCGCAGGGATCAACTCCTGGCCCCTGGGTCTGCCTCAGCAGGTGCTTTAATCTGCTGATCTACTTGGTCAGCCCTTCATAATCTCTTAAATTTATTTGTTCAACTGATATTTTACTGAAAGCATTATTTTAATATATTCTCCATTATAAATTATTCATTGAATAAAATAAATTTTAATTTGTTTTCATATCACATTATCACCTATAATTATGTTTTCACATCAGGAAGACATAGGCTTTCTTCTAAACCAAAAAATACTGAATATTTTCCTTACCTGAATATAACATGTGAGGACTCCTGTTGCATAAATGGGGACTGTAGCTTTAGTGAGAACCCCATTTCCTGCTGAGGAATCTAAAATTATTAAAATATTTTTAAAAGTCCAAGTGTGTTTTAGGTATAAAGAAAAAAAGTCTTGTGAAATTTAATTTAAAATTATAATTGTTTACAAAGTTACAAAAACTTTCATTACTTTGGAAAATACTGTGATCACAACCCATTTCTATTCTATATCATAAATTTAATGTTTCTTAAAAACTTGTAAGTACATAAATTTCTGATGGGATGAAAAATTAATAATTAAATGAGATATTATATTCTACAACCAGAAATTAGAATTTCTTTGAGTCTCTTAGATGAACATATAGTCAGGTCTTCCTAAATACTTCAATGCTTCTTTACTAATTCATCATCATAATTAATAACTGGCTTAAACATGATACCAACAATTAGGAAGTCCACATTATCAACCCTTTAGAAAGTGTTAAAAATAATTTTTGGGAAAGCATTTGTGATAAAAAAAAAATCCTCATTAATGATTTTAGATTTCAAAGGACAACCAAAAATGAAGTTTTCTAGATGACTTGAATCAAGTCATTAAGGTAGAATATAGGCAAGAATTATCTACATATTCAAAAATCAACCAAGGTAAACAGGTTATTTCTAGACACTAGAAAAATATTGAGGTATACAACATCCATATGTAAACAATTTCTTAAGCCAGTGGCAACTAGAATTCTGAAGACAGATCATTGAAAATTATCAACAAAGAGGCTACAACTGCCTATAAGCCTACAGTTTATTTATAATTAAACTGAATAATGATTAACTTCACTATCACCCATGCGAAGCCTGTTAGATGTGACACAGCTATTAAGACTATGAATTGCATAATATAAATTTTCCTTTTCAATGGTACTTATTTTCTTTATATAATTTACACATATGGAATATAGTATTTTTCCTGAATAAAGAGGTTTTTAAAAGTAACAGTGAATAACTTACCAATGTTTTCTTCAGATAGTCTTAAAATCTCTTGGAACTGAGGCTTTACCTAAACAATGAAAAAAAAAATCTAGGTTTCAAGTTCAGTGGATTAACCAATGATTAAAAAGTTTATGACTGCTACTAATATTTATTAATATATTTATTTTGCCTATAGTCTTTTGAAGTAGTCAGAAATATATTAATTCTTAAGATGCTTAGAATAAAAGAAGTCAAGCTATTAAAAACAACACTTTTAAGGATAAAGATCAATTCTGGTCAACAAGTAATTTCTGAGTGGCCTTTGGTTTCTTTCCCTAAAATAATTTCAAAGATGGTTTTATTGACATGTAGTTTACAATGTTGGGAATCAAACCAGAGCCTTTTGTATGTTAGGCAAGTAATCTTCCACTCAGCTGCATTCCTGACCCCCAAAATGATTTTTAAATGTTTAAAATTACTGCCTCTTAAAAATTGAACTTGGTGCTAAAAAGGCTGCATTGGTAGATATTATTAGAATTACTGAAAAAGAACATTTGGTTATATTATAAAAGAAATGAAAAGGAAATTCTATTCATTCAGGCTCTTTACAACTAATATATTAATCATGTAATATCTATCTTAATATTTTATTAAGATTCTGAAAATTTAAGTAAAAAGAGCTTACTACTCTAAGTTAGAACAAAGACTTGTTTGAAATTTTTTGTCAGTAGAATTATTGTAGATTTCAGACTAATGAAGGCAACAATTTGGTATTAAGTATTCAATGACTCTAACTTGCTTTTGTAGGGAAAAAAAAAGTAATAACTACTTGTTTGGGATATATTGACCAATCTTTGCCTATATCAGCATATTTCATATTTACATACTGGATTTAAGAGGAGACGAAAACTATTAAAAGACTAATCTACTAAGTCATACTTAAAGAACTAAAAGACAGTGAAGCAACTTCTTCGATGTGACAAGTGAAAAGGAAAAAACCCAAATCATTTAACTTTTTTCTTAAAAAAAAAAATCACGAATTCCAATCAACAGATAACAGGATCATAATCTAAAGCTTCTTAATCTTGTCTAGTTTTTATCATATATTTTTCTGCTTTAAATGTTTCAATATAGATTTCATAGTAAATAACTGTTCTAAGTTAAATATAATATGTTAAATGCTTACCTTTAAAATGTCTGAATGTTTTATTTTAGTAACTATACTTTTTTAAAGTTTTTATTGGATGTATAAACAATTAGGGAAACAAGATGTCACAAAAACCAAATAGACTAACAGAATTAAAGAGGAAACTCAGGATTTCAGAGCATTCCCATTTTAATACCTAGGATTACAAACATCTTGTATGCATTGGCTAGTGTGACAAGTTATACTTTTGGTGGTGATCAAAACATATTTATTAAATGTGCTCGTGGCATTCCCTAGAAGTCATATTCTTGCAGACAGCTGTTACGGTTCTAGTCAGCTCAGGTTTTTACTAAAGTCTGCTGAGTAAAGAGATGCTTCTAGAAACTGCGAAAGACGGGAGTGCCAGAAGCAGAGTCAAAGGACTGAAGTTGAGTTTCCTAGCTGAAAGTTCTTATCATGAAATCTGACATCTAAATTCCAATACAAATTAAGGTTAAATCATCTACTGAAAATAAAGAATATTATCAATTAGAATTTTCTTTAATACAGTATTTTAGTATACTGTATTAAACTATAAAGGGAGGGTTCATAATTTTATTTACTGTTTTACAGCATTATCCTATTGCATTACTATATTTCTTGCATATAAGAAAACAAGGAATACAAGTTTTTACCTTAGTGTTTGTAAAAATTTTGCCAAATGTCCGGCAAAGGCGCCAGAAAAATCTGGAGAATTCATGGACACAGGCAGTTGAAGTAACATTAATTTTGCCAACTATTTCTATAAGTTGTGGCAACCTGAATATGAAAGGAAAGAGAAACAGGCAGGGGATACAAATAAATTATTGCTTCCTTGCCAGTATCTGGAATGATGCAAATCCAACTACCTTTAGTATTTTGATAGCAGAGGAATTATTGCAACTCTATGAAAGGCCTTACTTAAGATTATATTCTACTGTATGAATTTCTTAAAATAATTTTTAAATCCTTGCCACAAAAAAATATGAAAAAAACAGTAGAATGAAGTTAGTAAGACTCAAATGTATGTACTTGACGTTTTATATAACATCTTTACAAATATGGCATGGCCTCAAAAAATGAGAAGCCTATATACAGTTTAAAATCCACTACCACTACTGGACAAACAAGGCAGCAGATTGTTCTCTTGGACATAATATAGAGGCAACTTCTTCAGAGATAATTACTTATCCAATGGTATAAAAATCTCTTCTGCCAAAGTTTACTATTGATAATGTCTAGTTACATATAAACATTTAAAAAATATTTATAATATTGTATCCCCTAAATTTCAAGATTTGCAACTAGCTGCCTTTGAACTAATTCAGATGTTTCAAGTAAACATGGAGACAAAACTTACAATTGATTGACTACCCAAAGTAAACTTTCCCATCCTGTTGTGCCCTCGTGTTCCAGCTGGTAATCATAAAGTTGTAGTAGCACTGCTAATTGCTCACGGCTTCCAATAATAGTGGACACATCTTGAAGAGGTGACATAGGCCGAGGGAACCTAGTCACTAGAAATAACAGATGTAAAATAAATCACATAGAAAATGGCAGTTTGAGATCTTAGCTATTCTATCAAAGGAAAATAAGGTCCCTTCCTTGATAATTAATTAGCTCATCATAACCTTTAAACATGAAACTGAAACATTAATCAAGCCATTCTTAGAAAAATATAAGTTCTTGTCACAGGTGAACAAATCCAATATATCTCAAAAGTTAAGATTTTATAAGATTCTATAGTTAATAATAAGTGAATATTATAATGAAAATTCTCTAATGAAGAATAAAGTTTTGGTTAGGTAAAATTAAAATTTGCTCAAAGACAAGACTCTTAGATAAAACATGCATTTACATTTGATTTAAAAAAATACTTGAATTTCCATCATACTGTTTATGTCAATGAAATAATAAAATGTTTCCTTTATGGAATAAAGAACTAATAGATCAATAGTAGGAGAAATATGAATAGCAAAGAATCATTGCAAAAATATACTAAAGCTTGGGCTCTACAGAATTCTTTAGCACAGAGTTCCCAACACTAAATGCAGCATTTCATGTCATCATATTTTGATACACAGTACATTAATACCAAATGTCAAGCCAGTGGGCAGTAAGATAAGACTATGGACTACAGATATCATAAGTAGGTCCCAGATAAATTTCAAAAGTTTTGCGGTAAAACTGAAAAAAGTTACTTTTAAAATGGTTTAAATAAAACTTTATACACACATATACACTGCCCTACTAGTATACTTTAAAAGTTTAAAGATATCAATAAACTCTGGTCATACAAGCAGTAACAAAATCCCAGGTTATTAAAAAATACTTATGTGCTTTAAAAAAAAACGGCCTGGGATACAAAGTCAGCTCAAGACTAGCCTGAACTATACAGTGAGACTATCACTCACACTCACACATGCACGCACGCATGCACACACACTCATTAAGTGTAGACCTGCAACTTCTAATGGAGGCAACTGCTAAAAGAAATATCATCCTAAATAGACTGATAAGTATATAGCATTTTCTCAAACTATATTTAATGATAATTATTATATCTGAATAATTGAAATAGTACTTTTCTTCTTTTTTTTTGGTATGGGGGATCAAACTCAAGACCTTGTGCTTGCCAGGCAGGTGCTAACGCTGAGCTATCTACTTGGCCCAATAGCATATATTATTTAAAAAATGTTGATGCTAATGTATTCCTATTATGCACCAGGCAGTTAACAATATGATAAGTATAGCCAGGCCAGGTGGTCAACACTTGTAATCCCAGCTATGTGGGAGGCTATGGTAGGAGGATGGAAAATCTGAGGTCAGTCAGGGCAACTTAATAGATCTTGTTTGAATTAATTTTTAAAAAAGGGTAGGGTAGGGCCAGTGGATAGCTCAGCAGTCTAAGTGCCTATGTAGGCAAGCACAGGGACAAGGGTTAGATCTCCGGCACCACATGCTGTGCCAGCCACTGAGACCAGGTATGGTGGCTCATGCCTGTAATCCCAGCACTGGGGAGGCTGAAAACAGGAGTATCACTATGAGTCCGATCTACATAGTAAGACCCTGTAACAAATACATACTTGAAAAAAGGGGTAAGGAGAGAAGTCCTGGCTGGGGGATGTGGCTCAACTAAAATATTTGTTTAGTACGCATGAGGCTCTGGGTTCAACCCTCAGTACCACAAAAATTAACAGAATTTGCAAAATATAGTACAGATAATGATTGCTATTTGAACACTTCTATTTGCTATTATAATACACAAATGAAAGACATTTGGATAATATGGTATCTCTCACCATCTAAACTTTCCACTTTTCATTATTTTAACTGAAAAATCAACAGATCTGGATGATGAGAGATATTTGTATTTAATATGTCTATATCATATCAATCATATCTGAAATAATTTCAAATACAGTTCACGACACTAGTTCCAAACTATTGCTATGATGGAATATTGACATTATTGGACAATATAAAATAACAAAAAGTAAAGTTTAATGTAAAAAGAATAGGGTCCAAAGATTTTAAGTCCAACAAAGATTAAGCTAAGCAAAACAAGGATTGGAAACAAACAATTACATGTATAACTGTTATTATACAAAAGAAAATGGTTTAGGAGCCTCAAAATATTGTTCAATTTAATTATCATTTTAATAAAAAGAAAAAACTGAGCATCTAATAAACAATAATACAGAAAGCTTCCAGAATTCATTTTAATAGGCTGGCAAAATGCTAGCATTTTATTCTCAAGGAACTAGCCACAATTATCCTGCAGAATAATAGCTGTTGTGAATCTCTGATATGTTTTTCTCCCAAAAGAATGTAAACTCTATAATGGCAAAGAATGTAAGCTACAATGGCAAGGAATGTTACCTATTTTATTTAAGAGTGTATTTCAAATTTCTAAAATAGCGCCTTACAAAAATGTTGGTTTATGTTATGAAATAAATTGGTCAAAAAAAATTTGTGTGAGATACCATCATTTATGAAAACACAAATCTTTATAATTATTCCAAATTATATGCATATGTATAAGACACACAAACATAGTGATAGATATGTACCAAAAATAAAGATATAATAAATCATTACTTAATTATAGTCAACAAGACCTGAAAACAAAAGATTACTTTGTATAATAAAATTACAAGAGGTCACATAAACATTGAAGGAATATATACAGAGTACTAAAGTTGTTTTAAAATCACTTTAATCTTTAGTAAATCTTTCTCAACAATTGATATTCAAGGATTCTTTTTTGGGAGAAGGAGTGTTACTGGGAATTGAACTCAGGAGCTTATCCTTGCAATGCAGGTGCTCCACCACTGAGCTAAATCTCCAGGCCTTTTGTTTTTTGATGCTTTGTTAATATATAAAGATAACAAACATGATAGGTTGAACTGAGTTCTCTGTAGGTTGAAGTGAAAATGACTACTATATAAGCATTAAGATAAAATGAGGTCACACTGGATGGAGTAGGGTAGGCCCTTACCCAATATAACTGACACCCTCACAAAAGGAGTATATCTGGACATAGAAAGAAGTGCAGAGTAAACCATGTAAAGAAAAAGGCAGAGATGGAAGTGATAGTCTATAAGCCAAGGGACATCAAAGATTGCTAGCAAACTACAGGAAGCTAGAGGAGATGTACCTAATAGTTTTATCTTCACAATTTGTAGAAAGAACCGACCCCTATTAAAATCTTGATCTCTGAATTCTCAGATATAGCTGATTTAACAGGGAATTAGAAAGACAGGAAAATCTTTAGGTAGATAAAATGCTTTAATGAGGAAAATGGTAAAATGGAAGTGATCAGGTCTGAGTGCTTTATAAATAAAGTCTGAACTTCAAAGCCTATACATATTGAAGTGTGATACTCAAAAAAGAGACACTCAAAAATCATACATTACTTTTAACTTGTGGCTTCATGCATCCTTGAATACAGTTTCATATTTCATAGATTATAGGCAGATTATAGTTTACTTTAGTTGAAAATTTAAATTCTAAATACATTATCTGTTGATATTTGTAATGTTACAATTCTTTGTCTATCAGGAGGCAGTAAGAGACAAAAGTTCAAAAATCTGAAAAATGGTTAAGATAGCTTATCTATAGCCATTTACCCCAGAGATTAGAGGAGCATTTGGTTTATCAATCACCTGACACATATCAAAGGTCTTTTACTGGCTAACTAGGGAGTTAGAAAACACTAGCCTTTGCTATCAATTTCATGTAATTCTAAAATTTAGTCAGTTCTATAGAAAAAAAGCAAATTTTGCCATTAAGCTAATTTTCTATTTATCAAGGACCTAGCAGGGGTGGAAGAAGTAATTATATTTCCTTATATTTTCTTTCCCTTACTGAAAACAAGATGAAACAGCTGGGGAAGAAAAAATTATAAACGAAACACAAATGAAAAGCCTCATACACTGACACTAGTATTAAGGGAATCTTTTCACTGATTCAAATCTATTCATAGAAGGAAACATTTACTGTAGCTTCTCAACAAAGGTTATAAAGACTACAGATTAAGATATAAAGTATAATATAATATCCATAGGCTTATCCATAAAAGATGAATTGCTATATTTTATCCTAGATATCATATAATCTACAAACACAAGATTCTACACATCCTAGCAGTATATATTATTAACTATGCTATCATATAATAATAAAGATTTGAATAAAAGCATTTTTAATATTTATTTATTGGATATAGAGTCTCACTACGTAGTTCAGCGTCTGTGCCAGCCACTCCAGTGCTGGGATTACAGGCATGCACCACCATGCCCAGTTTCAGTGGCAGGCACAGTGTGCCCGGGGCTGACATGGCATGTGGTACTGGGGATTGAACTTGGGTCCTTGCTCTTGCCAAGTGGACGCTTAGATTGCTGAGCTATCTCCCAAGCCCTAAAAAAAAACATTCTTTGGGAAACTAAACTGCTAATAAACTTTGTTACAGAATTTGAGTTTAGTACCTTCTATCTGTGGCACTTCACCATGAAGCTTGGCTTTGCTGGAGAAAGGCGCATTCTGTAGCACTAATGCAAAAAGAGAAGGGATCAAGGACTGCAAGGCAGAAAGATACATATGGAGCTTATGTTCATCCAGACCATGTTCTCCTTCCTGAAACATAAGGAGGTGGAAGCTAATGTAGTAGTCTTTAGAAATTACATTGTTAACTGAATCTCTTTTCTTTGTGGCAAATAAAACATTTGTTGAACTCAAAACATTATACTTAATGGAAATGTTCTTTCAGAATATGCAGAAGCAATAAGGAAGTGTAGAATTAACAGAATCTGTTATATGGAAAACTTAATGGTAAACAGTCATTTCCAATACTGAGAACTTTGTTACAGGCTCTCTTTTTTAAAAGGGTGGATCTTATCTTTTAAAATTTTATAAATCAGGTTTAAGAAATTAAAGTGAGTCAGGAAACATTTTAAATGTTCCATTGTGCTTGCAACTTCCCTTCTTGTATTCCTTGTCTCCTTTTATATGTTTGATAATACCTGTATTTTCAAATGTTAAAAGCATTTTAAAATAATTCTGGGTACACACAAAAAAGGAGGAGAAAAAACTTAAGCAACAACAAAAAAGATGATAGAAAAAAAGAGTTAATGGATCAGTGTGGTACTCAGAAGCCTAATAGGTAAAAAAATATTATTAGAGATCAAAGCATTTACTGATGTTCAAAATCTATTTGAGACATTATTGTATTTCAAATAGCAACTGTACCAGAAATATCAGAGAAATGAATTATTCACTAACTTCCTAATTAATTTGTTTATGTAAGAATTACTAGCTATATTACAATATCTTTAACTGAAATGTGGAATTAGTTGTGTTATCATATGGTACAAGAAAAAGCAGGTATGGGTAATACTTGGAAAGAATAAGAATATAAACACTTGACCTTATCAGACCCAAAAGCTACAACTCTTGTTGCATAGGTCTTGCTTTACCTTGGTCTTAACCATCCAGCAGAAAAGTATAAAAACGAAATATAAGAAGTAAAGCCATGCTGTTATGTTGAGCTATAGGGGACTCAGGTCAACAATTTCTGACATTGCCAGTCAAGCAGAAGACCCAATACTATTATGGACTACTGGACTCTTTTAGAATATTTTGCTGAGTTTACACACCTATAATATTCAAATAACGGAACTTAACAAAAAAAGGGGATACAGATGAACGTCCATTTTGTATCTGTGTATTCAAAGTGGTTAGGATAGATATATAGTTACATTCTCTCTTAATGAATAGAGCGATTTGTTTTAATGGTGTTTGTAAATAGGTTATCATGTCCGCATCTTGTACAGCAATTAACCACTAGGAAGAATGTATGCAATGTGTGAATTATTGAAACTGTCCTAGCAATTTAATTTGAAACTGTGTCATTGCTATTTGTTTATCAATAAAATTATAGGGGGAAAAAAAAGAATATAAACACTTAAAAAAATTCCCTGGGTTTCACAAAACAGTATACCTTAGACAAAAACAAACAAAAAAACATTTTAAAATTTATACAAAGAACAGCCCTATTTTTTAAATTAAATATATACATGTGAATACATATAAGACCATTTACTGAGTAATTACAGTGTTTTACTATTAGAACCTTATAGATGCTTTAACATTTTGAGGCAGAAAAGGTAAGACTTTGGAATCAAGAGATTGATATATCAGATCCTGATATCATGTAATATTACAGCAGTGAGGCCCTGGTAATTTATTTATATACTGCATCTCAGTTTCCATATAAGACAGAGTATAACTCAAAGGGTTATGATAAAAAGTAGGATTTTAATATTTAAAATGTATATTTAAATGTATCTACTGTAAATGGCATAGATCACATGCTACACTGGCCCTGCCCCGGGGAGTGCTGCGCTGGCCACTGAGATCAGGTGTGGGGGTGCGCGCCTGTAATCCCAGCACTGGGGAGGCTGAAAACAGGAGAATCACTACGAATCTGTGCTTCATAGTGAGATCCTGCATCAAATACATAAAAATGAATGAATGAATAAGTAAATAAATGGCACAAGCGGATTCATGAAATGTTAGTTTCTCTTGTAGCCATTCATTAACTATTGTGTCAACTTGAGTAAAAGAAATGTTTAGAACAAAAATTAGACCGAGAACATTTTATCTACTGTTCTTCAATCTTTTTACTTGGGTAGAACAATAAGTTGTGAAATCATAACACACCTATAATCCCAACACTAGGGAAGCTAAGGCAGAAGGACTGTTGTGAATTTGAGACCAGCCTGGGCTACAAAGTAAGCTCAAAGCCAGCCTGAACTGCATAAAAAAAAAAAAAAAAAAAGGAAAAGGATATATTTCTGTATATATACTGGACAGCTTGGATAATTATGCTGCTTTTTGCTGGTCTGTTGAAAGGAGCTGTTAATTCTTAAATTTGTTCTTTTCAATTTCTTATACTTTTCAAAACCTTTTTTGCATGTTTATATCTGATAATTTAAACAATTAATTTGAAGATAGCATGTAATATAGCAATCATCACTGAATTCTTATTATTTTGTTTAGTGAAATTCTGTATTGCATTTAATTTTTTTCCACCATTTTGTATTCTCTTTAAAAAATAAAAATAAAAGCTTAAATCATAAACACATGCTGAGATACATTTGGACCTAATAATTTAATAAATGGATTAGGTTAAAAAAGTAAGAGAATAACTGTAGTGAAATAGGCACAGCTGAAGCAACTTTAACATCATGTAAGTAAGAAAGCTATACAAATTCAGATTTCAGGTAAAAACAGTTAAGCCCTTTAACAGACACACATCATTACTGTTCTCTCCTAGCTTCACCCAAACTTTCTCAAACTCTCTTAGATAAAGTGAAACAGAATCTTGCTAATTACTGGTATCAGTTATACAGTTCAGTGTCATTTTCTATCTGTGTTCCCCAATATTCCTCTAAAATTATTTAGAAAAAAATCTTTCAAATTGCTATAAACTATATAAGAAACAGAAGAACTTACCCTGAGAAGCTTTTCAATCTTGTTCAGTAGTGTAGGTATAAGATGAGACTGTAAATTTCCAAGTTCTGTAGTCCAGGCAGCATACGCTGGTAAAAATACTTGATGTGTTGCACTAACTACTCTTTCTGAGGGATCACCCAATGCTGACTGCAACAATTCAAAACCCTGTTGAAGAGCAATGCATAGTGTAGAAGAATAAACTTTTAAAACACTTAATAAGCTCCATAATACTACTTTTCATTCTGTATAACGTCACGTGTGCACTGATGAGAAACCAAAAAGAAACGGTTGGAAAATATGGCATATTTATTTCTAGTTTTGACAGAAAACTGCAAGAGATACTATAAAGAAATTGTAACAGTCTCTCCTCTGCATTGCAAGACTGAAACCAGTCATTGTTAACCTCCAACTAACTAAAGCTGGCATAGTTGCCATTCCTATTATAGATTATAAAGTATCAAAAGTTTTAGAATATTGTCAGAAATTTTACAACAATGTAAAAGAGACTCATTCTGAAAAACACACCTGTTGATACTTGTCTGGATCATCAATGTATCCCATAATGATTCCAAGGCTTTTGATGACAGCTTCTCTTACCAAATCTGCTTTATCTTCCATTAGCATCTGTTGCAACATTGAGAGAACCAAGGAACTACGAATTTCTTTCTGAAAATAAACCACATGAATTTACTACTTACTTACACTCCAGAAAAAAGATACAGTAAACGTCAAATATCCATGTGTTCAAAATCCAGGTTAAATAAACATTAACATTTTGCTGTATTTGTTTTGAACCTTTTTTCAAATCATCGAACATTAAATACAACCAAAATATAATTATTTCCAAATCTCTCCCAGCACATCCTTTCTCTAGAAGTAATAATACCTACCCTGAATTCAGTGTTAAACAGTTCTCAACACGCTTTTATATATACTCTGCCCAAAATATGTATTACTTCAAGAAAAAAAAGTATTTATCTCAAATAACATTCTTGACGTACGATGGATCCTACAGGATGATGGATACTGACTGCCAGCCCATAGAGAAGAAACTGAAAATACATGAGCAAGCTGGGTGTGGTGATACACATCTATAATCCCAGCATGCAGAAGTAAAGGACTGCCACAGTTCAAGGCCAGCCTTGGCCACATAGAGAGTTCAAGGACAGCCTGAAGTACAGAGATCCTGTTTCAAAAAAAAATTCCCCCTCCAAAAAAGAAATAAAATGTGCAGTAACCTCAATGACCAAGACAGCAGTTCATCATACTAATAAATATCTGGATAATATCAGCTACAGTTTTGAGTGGTTCTTATAACTGCAGAGACCCAAAGTTACTTGTATTAACCTTATGCTGTCTCAATACATTCAGTGAAAAGTTATACACATTTTTCTTTTCTTTAAGTGTTTATATATATGTTTTGTGGACTCTACACTTATTAAAAATGCAAAGTCCTTCACATCCTTATCCTTACAGTAAACACTAACAGACATATTTAACAAATCAAAACTCAATACTCTGCTACAAACGGAAAATGACTGTTTAATTACCATTAAACTCAGAGAAGAGTATTGAGGGGCTGTAACAGGAAAGAACTCTGACAAAACATTTGCTCGCAGTAGGATGAGGAAATACAAAATGCTGGCATTCTTATTATTTTTTTTTTTTTTGACGTAAGAAAAATTCAAATAGGGAATAACATGTAAGAATAAACCTTAAAAATAAATAAAATAATAAGATGTCAACCACTGCTATAGTTTAATTTCTAACAGTTTTTTTGTTTTTGCAGTGCTAGGGATCAAATTCAGGGCTTCAAGTAAGATAGATAAATGTTTTATCACTGAGCTATACCCTCTATACACACATTTTTCAGTTATGTTAAGAATATTTTATGTTAATGACTGAGATTAAAATGAAATAAGCTATTGATACTCAAATTCATACCCCTTCCCTCAACTTTGTACTACTATTACAACTTAGTTTACAAAATTTTTAAACGCAAATTGTATTGAGTAAATTTTTTACATATAATAGATTATAAAACTAAATGTAAAGGAAATGACTATTTTCATAAATTTATAGCCTGACTTGATATGCAAATCAACAAAGGTAAGCAAATTTTTGATATTTTGAGGCTGAGTATACCTTTTGGCAAATCTTGTTTATTTACTTTTTATACTAAACACTGCTAAAAATGACTCAGAATATCTTACTAGGAATTTGTGGTTGACATTATCATAAAGCAAGAGAACAGAGATGAGCAAGCTTCAGGCGAATGTTTGCTTCACACTGAACTGGGCTGAAATTATCATTAGCTCTATGAGTTATAAGGATCCTCCATAAGAAAGGATAGCAGTTGTTATTCTAGGTAAACCATGAGTATACACAGGACCTAAGGAAGTGTGGAGATTCTGTTGTTACCAAGGACTAGATTCTTTGAAGAACATTATTATTTTGTGTTCTAGTAGCAGATTAGAATAGCTAACTTATCCTTTGAGAGAAGGTAATGCTCACTTTAGTCTTGGAACAATAAGTAACAAGATACTCAGGCTCAAATCTGTTATTACAAATTATCACAACAGCAAGACATCAGTTTTCTCCTTTTGGATAAAGGAAAAAAAAATTTTTATTATGCCAGTTCGTGGTGAAAGTATGAGAAACTGAGAGCTCTGATGTACTATTATTAGAAGTATAAATCCACACTATCTTGGTTGGAGACAATTTAACACTGTCAAAATAAAAATATACAAATACTGGAAAAAGCAAGATGTAGAGATACTAACAATGAAAGAAACTTTAAAAACGGAGAGATAGCCACATGAGAATTGGTCAGTACTATTTATGTTCAAGAACTGTAATGGGATACAGAATATTGTATATAGTTAATTTGAGGTACAATGTTTATAAAGGTATGAAAATAAAAGCTGATATATGTAATATGTATATACATTTTTATTTCCTACCAGTAGGAATTAAAAAACTAGCAGTGGATATCTTTACAGCAAATGAGTAGGGGTCAGAGAAATGAAGCCTTTGGCTTTTCTTTTCTGCATATATGAACATTTATTTTCAACTAGCTAAAATATATTTGTGCAGAGAGTGAGACTATGGATTATTCTTTTTATCTTTGCAAATAAAAGAACATCACAAATATTTCTTTTTAAAAAGACATGATTTTACTGTTGGCTTCTCATTCTTGATGAAAGAATATTCCTGGTACCAAAACAAAATTAATTAAATAAAGTTAAACTTAAAAAAAAAAAAGAGTAAATGCAACTAAATAACTCTTATAGTATTGTATAATTCCAATCTTGTAGCCCAGTTTAATGAAGAAGGATCATAAGTCCAGCCTAGACAACTCTGCAAGACCCTGATTCAGAAATAAAGGGGGCTGAGGATGTAGCTCTTGTTAAAGTTCTCAGTTAAAGCCATAGTGCTGAAAGAAAAAAATCCAGCCACAGAAGATACATACAAAGAAATGGGTGTAGCTGTATTCCAACAAAACTCTCTTACAAAGACTGGCTGTGGAATAGACATACTGTAGTGTATCAAGTATTAGAATTTTATAATTTATAATAAAATATTTATAAGTTATTTTATATAAAAAATACAGAAGATTTTTATTTCATGTCTAATTTAAGACACTGTTCTGTAATACACTTATTGTGACATATTGTCTTAATTAATTTATTTTTTTCATTAAACTCTGTTTTAATGGGTCTCAAAATTCTGTGACAGATTTTTGGCCAAAATGTTTCCATTAAAAGGTAATGATTTTAAAAACTAGTAACTTAAATATTGCCATACAAAAACAAATGGTCCACAAAACATTCTCTTTTCCTTCTGAAGGTTTTACGATGCATTGTTATCATTAACGAGTCTTTCACTATCAAACTGAAATGGCCAATTGGGAGAAACAGTTCTGAGAGCGGTCTCCGCCACTGATTAAGACTGGGGTGGTACCACGCCCAGCCTTGGGAAGCCCTTTCTGAGGCCGAGATCTGTACAAGAAAAGATCTTTACAAGTCAAGGCCACACGAACTGCATGATGTCCACAAAAATGCCATGTAGGTAGGCCTAAGAACCTGCTTGGTAAGCACAAGGACCTGAGTTCGATCCCTGGCACCACATGCCATGCCACCCCAAAACCACAGGCATGCTGTGCCGGCCACTAAAACTGAGCATGATGGCACACACCTGTAATCCCAGTGCTGGGGCGGCTGAGACAGGAGGATCACTATGAGTCCAAACTGCATAGCGAGACCCTGTACCAAATACATAGATAAAAAGGTTTTTTTTTTAATTTAAAAAAAAAAAAAAAGTTATGCAAACAGATGAGGAAAAGGAAGTCCAGCAATAGGGCTGGAGGTTGGAAAGGTCTGATTCCACTTGTGGTAGGAAGCTTACATTTTACTTTGTGTCTGATCTGACTGGCAAGTGATCTGAAAGGTTTGCGTGTTTTGGGGGAAAGTTGGGCTTTATTTGTTGTTTGTCTTTCCAGCTCAGACTTGAACCCAGCCCTCACAGGAGGGAGGCTGGCACTCTCCCCAAGCCACATCCCTTCTCAGACCTTCAGATAACTTTTAAGAGACAGAATTGGCAGATTTTGCTAATGCTTTAAGAGGTAGTGGAGACATCTGGCCATAGTGGCGCATGTGTAATCCCAGCACTTGGAGGCTAGGGCAAGGGGATCACCATGATTTTGAGGCCAGCCTGGGCTACACAGTGAGTTCAAACCTAACCTGTCCTGTAGAGCAGGACCTTGTCTCAAAAAAAAAAAAAAAAAAAAACCCACACAAAACAACGAGTAGTGCAGAATAAGGGAACAGGAGGAAGCAAGAGGTCCTGCCTGAATTTTGGCTGTAGCAAACGACCTGGGTAGTTTCAGTAATCTTTCTAAAACTGGCACATATATTTTCCTACAGTGAAAGTTAAGCCTCAGTGAAAGGGGAGGCCAGGTAATGAGCACCTGCCCACCTGTTAAGGGGCAGGTAATCTCACTGTGGAGCCAAAGTAAGTCTTGTGCAATACAATCCACTTTTTAAATGTTGAATGAATTTAAAATTATAAATTCCTAACAGCTTCTAAAATCACATTGGTCCCTTCCAGCTCTTAGTGGCAATCTTAGGTACTTTCTCATTGTTGGGATATAATAAAAATACCTGGCAAAACCACTGGGAAAAAAAAAAAAAGACTGGGTTGGCAGGTGGCAGGGATAATATTCATTTAGCCTTCTGAGCTTTCTGGGCAGACTTGGTGACCTTGCAGCTCCAGCAGCCTTCTTGTCCACAGCTTTGATGACACCCACAGCAACTGTCTGTCTCACATCATGAACAGTGAAATGACCCAGAGGTGGGTAGTCAGAGAAGCTCTCGACACACATGGGCTTTCCTGGAACCATGTCAGCAATGGCAGCATCACCAGATTTCAAAACCTTGGATACATCTTCCAGCTTTTTAGCAGACTGGTGATCAATCTTTTCTTTCAGGTCAGCAAACTTGCAAGCAATGTGAGCTGTGTGACAATCCAGGACAGGGGCACAGCCAGCACTGATCTGACTGGGATGGTTCAGGATAATCACCTGAGCAGTGAAACCAGCTGCTTCCATTGGTGTCATTTTTGCTGTCACTAGCCACACTGACACTGGACATCTCTGACAGACATGTTTTTGACATTGAAGCCCACAATGTTCCCAGGAAGAGCTTCACTCAAAGCTTCATGATGCATTTCAACAGACTTGACTTCAGTTGTGACGTTGACTGGAGCAAAGGCGATCACCATGCCAGGTTTGAGAATATCAGTCTCCACTTGGCTCATAGGGACAGTGCCAATACCACCGATTTTATAGACATCCTAAAGGGGCAGCCTCAAAGGCTTGTCACTTGGGCAAGTGGGTGAGAGGATGTAATCCAAAGCTTCAAGTGGTGTGGTGCCGCTGGCATTGTCATCTCTATGAGTGATCTTCCATCCTTTGAACCAAGGCATGTTAGCACTTGGCTCCAGCACGTTGTCACCATTCCAACCAGAAATTGGCACCAAAGCTATGGTGTCAGGGTTGTAGCCAATTTTCTTAATGTAGGTGCTGACTTCCTTAACAATTTCCTTGTATCTCTTCTGGCTGTAGGGTGGCTCTGTGGAATCCATTTTGTTAACTCCAACAATTAGTTGTTTCACACCCAGTGTGTAAGCCAGAAGGGCATGCTCACAGGTGTGTCCATTCTTGGAGATATAATCTTCGAATTTACCAGCACCAGCAGCAACAATCAGGACAGTACAGTCAGCCTGAGATGTGCCTGTAATCATGTTTTTGATGAAGTCTCTGTATCCAGGGGCATCAATGATGGTCACATAATACTTGCTGGTCTCAAATTTCCACAGGGAGATGTCAATGGTGATACCATATTCATGTTCAGCTTTCAGCTTGTCCAACACCCAGGCATACTTGAAGGAACACTTCCCCATCTCAGCAGCCTCCTCAAATTTTTCAGAAGTTCTTTTGTCGATGCCACTGCACTTGTAGATCAGATGGCTGGTGGTGGTGGATTTCCGGAGTCCACATGTCTGATGATGATGATATTAATGTGAGTCTTTTCCTTTCCCATGTTGGCTTGGATTTAGTGGTGGTTTTGCAGTAAACACCTGTGCTCTTGCAGCAAACTTGTTGCAAAAAAGCTGTCTTAATTGATTTAAAGGAAATCTGACTTCATGAAAAAATTATAATTAAAAAGAAGTATCTTAATAGTCTTTTCATATAAAAATGCACTTCATAAATAATAAGCACTTAATATATGATATATTAAATTTCATTGGTATATCTTAGATTTTTAATGTTTCTATTTTAACCCAGCTTTAATTTGGGAAAAAAAAAATTGATGAAAAGTCAGAGATGTTTTTCAATACTGACAGTTTAATTACATCATTTCAAAAATCCACTGAGCTCAGCATAAAGAAGTTTTTATGTATTAAGTAGACTTTTACAGTGGTATATACTAGAATTCACTTAGAAGCTCTAACTTATCACTGTCAACAAATACTGCCTACTTGTTCTCTTTGAAGTTACTTGAGGAACAAAATATCTGCCATATACCCATGTATGACAGATCACAGCTTGTCAGTGGTTCTGTCAAGCAAAATGGATCTCCCATAAAAAAGTGGCTAGTTTAGTGCATAACTCAACTAGATGTGTTTTTTTCCTAGAAACAGCAAAGATGTAAGGGCCACAATTCAGTAAAACTAAAAATTTTACTTATTCCACAAACTCCTTTTTAAATAAGATTGGCTTGTTATACAATAGTAATGAAAAATTCAATTATATTAATCCTCATTTGGCACGGCTACTTCTGATTAGTCTAATGCATGAGCAGTTTTGTCCATCATACTTTTTGTACCAATATTGCAAATGTTAACATGAGATAGAGAAACTATGTCTTATAAGAATAGTTTTCACTTCATGAACCTCTTGGAAATGATATCAAGAAACAATGCAGGTTCCTCTGACCATTATCTGAGAACTGCTGATATAGTTTAATATATATGTAAAATTAATGGCAATACACTTACCCGCCTACAATACAGTAATGTACTAATGTGAGCCCCCTCTTTTTTTTGCTCTTTCTTTTTCATATTAAAATGGTATGTCTAAGAGATTTTAAATTAAAATATAAAAAAATTAAAATATATGACTTTGAATAAATAACAAACGTAAGACTTTTAAATTAAAATACAATTTTTGAAAAAGGCTCCTCTACTATTGAAAAGGAACAAATGTTCTTTTTTTTGTTTACGAACAATGTTCTAAGAAAACAAAAACAAAAAACCAACAATTCTTACTGGAAGGTACGGTGCCAATGCTCCACAGGATTCTGCAACCAGCAGTCGTCTTTCTGGGTATTTGTGATTAATCTAGAGTAAAGAAAAATAAATAAATGAAGCATTAAAAAATTACCCTCACTTTGTCCAACAGAGAACTACTTTTGACCATAAATTGTGTTAAGAATGCAATAAAACTTTTTCCTTTTCCATTTTGGGACTCCCTGTGTGGCTAGACCTAGCTTCAGAATAAGGGAATGAAGAGTCTAAATATGTCACAAGGATCAATGGTCAAAGGAAAAAAGAAAAAGCAGAAGCCCAAGACAAAAATTTGGCAAAACATTTTTAGAGATTTCCTGCTATCCTAGGATTATATTTCCCCAGGATATCTGGAGAAATCAGGACCTAGCAGGAAAAATTAGGAGACTTCAGGAGAAATCAAGATCTCCTCCTAGCAAAAGGAGTATATTTTTTAATTTGGAAAATTTGTCTTCTAGATCAAATAGATATGGTCAACAATATATCCTGGTCTTCTCTTTTACCTAAGCTTTAGAAAATAAGTTAACCAATTATTTAATCAGCTTGACTAAAACTGTTTTCTTTTTTAAGGTAAGACTTAATTCCTATTTGCACATGTGAAATGATGGTGTTTTGTTATTGTTATGACTATACTGAACTATAACCAAAAAAAAAAAAAAGACACATACTGGGCTTTGTTCCCATATGTCTTCTCCATAGAATATAAATCTTTCTTTGACTGGAAAGGAAGTATATCTGTTCTCATATTTCCATATGAAAAGGTGACATAATTCAATAATGTATTGGATGCCTAAAATTAAGAAAAGAAATTTATATAGTACTCTACTGGGCAACAAACTGGAGAAAGGTGGATAGACAGATCCCTGTTATCCAAGTTTATTTAGGTTGCAGAAAAGGTGGACAATAGAGATACTTATATCTGATATCTTTGAATTGAATTTAATCCACATAGTCATTTTAAAAGCAAAATGGTCTGAATGTCGAAGTATGATACACATAGTTTCATCTGGTTTTCATTGGTTTAGGTTCAATGAGGCTCAAAATTACATGAACATACAAAAATCAATTGTTTCTATATGATGACAATGAATAAACTGAAAACATTCCCTTCTACAATAGCATCAAAAAGAATAAAACACTTAGTAACAGATAAAACAGAAGTAGTAGAAAACATATTCTGAAAAGTACAAACTATTATTGAAAGAAATTTTAATGACCACATAAATGGAAAGACATCCTAAATTCAGAGTGGGAGGCTTATATGATTTACTCTATAATGAATCTATAGATTCAATGCACTTTCACAAAAATCTCAGTAGTTTCTTTGCAGAAATTGACAAGTGGATTCTAAAATTTATATGGAAGTCAATGGGAACCATGTAGTCAAGAAAATCTTGAAAGAAAAACTACATTCATTGGTTTGTTCTGAAAGTGAAAAATGCTTTAAAATTAATTGCAGTGACAGGTATACAACTGTGAATATACTGAATCCATTGAAAATTATATATTTTAAATGTATAAGCACTGTTATTTGAACAGAGGAAAAAAGTACATACAAATGAATGTATAAAATTGTAAATTTAAAGTTCTTAACATTATATCCAAGTTAAAATTTTAACTAAGCATCCTATGTTAGCGTGCACTGTAATACATGGATGATACACAGCATTGTCAGAGGTAATTATTATTATATACATTGCTCACATTACATACTGAATCTAGTGGCTCCAATCTATTTATTTATTTAGGCAGAACCGAGGAATAAACTCAGGCCCTTGTGCTTGCCAGGCAAGTATTATTCTACTGAACACTCTTCCCGGCCCCTCTAATATATTTTAATAAAACAATGAATGCTCAAAGAAATTAGGATTAGAACTCTAAATGACTACACATTAGTGATATTCTAGAAACAAGTGCTTTAAGATAAATGCCTATGTTATTATAAATAAGGTTTTTGACTTGTCTTTATAAGTGAAAGCCTCATCTTTTAAAAGTGGAAAAATAACATGTTTATGACCCAAACTGTAAGCCTAGAAAGTCAGTAATTCTGAATTCTGCAGAACAGATTAACATTAAAATTCAATATACAGCTGGTGTGGTGGCATATGCCTGCAATCCCAGCACTTGGGAGGTTGAGGTGGGAGAATCGCTATGGATCAGCCTGGGCTATAAAGTAAGTTCAAGGCCAGCTTAAACTGCAGTGAAACCCTGTCTCAGAAAGATAAAAAAAATCAATCACGCAAACAAAGAACTATATATAATTAAAAGTATCACTAGTAAAAGAATTATAAATAAAAAACTCCTAGATCAAAGATTGATACTTTAGATACCATGTATGTTGTAATATACTAGTGTACAATACATATTTCTATTTATATGCACACATATTGCTCTTCCTAGAATACAGCAAGGACATTTCCACCTCAGGGTATTTGTATTTGTTCTTTTTTATGTCTTTTTGAGACAGGGTCTCGTTAATGCAGTTTAGGCTTGTCTTGAGCTCACTTTGTAGCCCCGGATGGTGTCAAACTCACAAGAATCTTCCAGCCTCAACCTCCCGAGTGCTGGAATTACAGGTGTGCATTATCATGCTTCCATCATGCTCGGCGGTAGTTGTATCTTGTATCACTCAAATTCCTTAAACATGCTTTCCTCGGGTATCTCTCCTCTCACCATTTTTTCCTAGAGCATTAGTCATCCCCATCTAATACTTCTACTGCAGGGCTGGTGAGACAGCCCTGCAGACTAAGCACCTGTTTAGGCAAAGGCATGGACCAGGGTTTGATCCCCAGCACCAAAGGATGCCCTGGCCCCACCCCCAGGTTCACTGAGCTGGCCAATGAGACTGGGCTTGTTGGCTGTTGGCATGTACCTGTAATCCCAGTGCTGGGGAGGCTGAAAAAAGGAGGATCATTATGAGTCCATGCTGCATAGTGAGACTGTACCAAATGCATTAAAAAAACAAAACAAAACAAAACGCCTTCTACTGCTTACATTTTCTTCCTCATATATGTTACCACAAGACAGCACATCATTTCTGTATTTACTCTTATCACCTGAGTAGATCTTTGTCTTTTGGTCATCATTGTATCATTGATTATACTAGTATTTGGCACTGGAATTAATGTTTCATAAGTATTTTTTGAATGAATAAAGCAAAGCATCCCAGAGAAGTCAGAAGCAGTATTAAATCACAGGCTAACTACTAAAATAGGAACATAATTTACAAAGTATAAATGTACCAGTGTCAGTGTAAGAAGAAAATATAAGAAATTCTAGCTAAGGCAATACACACTAGGGTTAATTTACCTGTTCCCAACACTGAGGTAAAAGTTCAGCTTCCACACGTGTAGGTCCAACATGACGTGCAAATGCCACACAACCTGTCAGTATCATTTGCCTGAAAAATAATACAAAAAACAAAGACATATCTGCATTAGAAAGCACTACTGGGACCAAGGGTTAAAACATAAGTTAAGCTTAGGCATTGCTCATTACTATTTCTTTCTTTTTTTTTTTTTGCGGAACCAGGGATTGAATTCAGGCCCTTGCGCTTGCCAGGGAAGCACTTATTCCATTGAGCCACCTCCCCAGCCCAAATTATTATTATTATTATTATTATTATTATTATTATTATTATTATTATTATTTTTGGTGGTACCAAGGATTGAACTCAGGACCTTGCACTTAAAAGGCAAGTACTTATTCCACTGAGCTATCTCTCCAGCCCTACTATTTCTTAACATGTCAATTTAAGTTAACTGCAAAGTGACTGCGTATGTCTTTATTGTATACTGCAGCAGGTTTTTATTCACCACATTATGGTTTTGGTCTACATATCCCTCTAAAGCCTCATGCAGTTTTAGTTGGGCCTTTATGGAGGCAGCTGAAACTAGAGTTTGTGACTGATTCATAGTGTGATGCTGCGATTAAGGGTGCTGGGAGACTGAGGTGAGTGATGGCTAGAAACAGATCACTGATTGAACTGACACCACCCTAATCCCAGCAGTCTGGATAAGAGGAAAGGAGCACAGAGAGACTTATTTTACCCTTTTGCTTTTGCTGTCTTCCTCCCTGCCCCCAGGCACCGTGAACAGTTGTCCTTCTGCTATGTGCCACCCTGCCTTGGAGCCAGCCAATTATGGAATGAAACCTGTACAAACTGAGCTAAATAAACCTTTCCTCCTTTAACTTTGGGTATTGTTCATATTATTTAGGTTATATGTAATATAATTAATAATTAAGTTTATTTCAGTAAAATGTTACATTTTTGTAAAGTGAAAGCAGGTTTACGTGAGGACACAAATGCCAAATTCCTGATTGACCTTAATCTGAAGCAAGGCTAATAGGTACTTTCTACCACCAGATGACAGCAATTTACATGCAGAGTCTATGAAAACTGGCTGTAAGATTTGGTTACTGCCTTGTAAATCCTAAAATAAAAAAAATGAAATAAATGGTATTTCATTGTTAAGTTTCAAGATAGGGAATATATTTTTCTAGTACTATACATGAACTTTCGTATATAGTACTATTATGCACAGGCAAGTTAGGTGGACTACAGCAGGCAGCTAACAGGGCACTGGTCCAAGGCAGAGCCAGGATGACTAGGTCTTTGGTAAGGAGGTCAAAAGAACATATTTAAGAACCAGGTGGAAAAACTTTCTGCCATTTCTATCGGAAAAGTATTTTTTTTCCTTCTCACTTTGTTCTTTTAATGAACCACTTTAGAAAGGATGGAAACCAAGAGAAATCTGCAGATATAAGCTTGCTACATGCTTCTACTTCTCATACGCCCATTTCTACTTTCAGTAAGCTTATTTTCAGCCTGCCAATTTGATTTTAGTTTGACTCACAGTTGTCTGAACCCTGGCCACTAGTATAAAAACTCCTAGACAAGGATCCCCCCTGGTAACACATATCCAGCCCTTCCTGATTACTGGGAGCTATTCCTCTCTTTTTCTTAAAATTTTAAAGAAATTATAATTGCTTTATTTGGTACAGGGTCTTCCTAGCAGCTCAGACTTACAGTGATCTTCCTGTCTCAGCCTCCCTGGTGCTGGGATTACAGGTATGTGCCACCACACCTGGTTTCACTGTGTACCTGGTGCGGGGCCAGCATAGTATGTGGTACTAGGCATTGAACCAGGTCCTTGTGCTTGCCAGTCAGGCACTTAGACCACAGAGCTATCTCTCACCAGCCCTATTATTACTCTCTTATTAATAAACATTTTTCTTCTCTACTTGGTCCTAAAATTCAACACTCACAGACTCAGATTAACCCTAGAAAATTTTCAGATTGAAGTGAATGGTACTAAAAATAAGGATTTAATTCTCTTTTTTCCTAATTGATTAGACTGTGAAGGTTACTGGTACAGATTAACCTTGGTTAGATCCTCCACTTGCGCTCAGGTATATACTGGTAAAGGCAAGAAATAGACATTCATTATACAAGTCTGTTTTTGTGTATGTTCACAGTTGAGGAGTCCCTTGTATTTTAAATCTGGACCTTGATTTGTCTCAGTTCATTTATTTATGGTTTTTCGGCATTATCAGAAGAAATGAAAACAATACATCAGAAAATCAAGTACTAAAATTATAGTTATAAAAATCATAAAAGTATCATTGTTTTACAAAGTATAAGAGAAAATAATTTATTAAGATAAACATAAGAAAACATTCAACTGCACTGCTTTATCTAATTGTTGCTTGGTCCACTTGTGTACCCATCAGAACAATTTGTTCAAACCCATAGCTTTTACTGGACAGTGGAGTGCTCAGTGTTTTTTTCTAAGATCTTATCCTGTTCAAAGAACTGGATGGGACAACTGATGAATGTAAAAGTTTAATGTTCACTGAAGGTAAAAGAAGAAGTAAAAGTGAAAAAGAAGTAGAAAGAAGAGAGATAAAAAGTGAATGCTGAAGGAGAGAGAAAATATGCTTGCATGTAGAAAAACCCACTGCTAGAATGAGAATGTAGTGGTTGGCAACTTTCATATTCTTCTTCTGACATCAGATCCAGGCCATCTGATGCATGGCTCTGAAGCTGTTCTATACATACATCCAGGCTGTGATTTGACAGGTCTCTGACTGATAGATCCTGTCAGACTGCCCTGTTGGTTCACCATGTCCTAATCTCCTGCTTCATAGTTATACAGCCACTCTTTATTTAAAAGTGTGACTGGCTCAGGTAGATATTTATCAGCATTGCTTAATCAAAATGTATTTTCTTCTTTTTTGTTTCTCTTTTTTTTAAAAGACAGGGTTTCACTCTGCAGTTCAGGCTGGTCTCAAACTCACAGCAATATTCTTGCCTTAGTTTCCTGAGTACTAGGATTACAGGTGTGTGCCACCATGCCCAGTGGCAAAACGTATGTTCCTTTCTTAGGATCACCCTAACCTCTGCCTTCCCGCCCAGTATCTTTTATTCTAGACCATCTCTTTCTGCTATAATTACATTTCCTTTGATTTTTAAAAGCCATGATAAAGTCTTATCTTAATATTGTTATTATTGTGTGTGTGTGTGTGTGTGTGTGTGTGTGTGTGTGTTACCAGGGATTGAAATGAGGGCCTCTGGAATGCTGGACAACTACTCTACCACTGAGCTATACATCAAGCCCGTTTTAATACTTATTTATTTTTTTTAGGATACCAAACAATGTTTTTAAGTCTCTCTCTGGTAAAAAAAAGTTACTGTTTAACCAGTATGGACAATATATACAGAAGGGCTGTGTTAGTTGATACATTGTGTCAACTTGGCTGAATCAGCTCCGGCAGCGTGGGGGCCTCACCCTGCAGGTGGGCAGGGCCCAGGAATTGAGAAAAGCTTCCTGCCACCCTGGCGGACTTCCTGTCTCCTGCCGCCCCGCCCCGCTTCGGTGGAGAAGTCCCAGTCTTTGAAGGAGCTTGATTTTTGCAGCCGCGCCACTTTGTAGGAACTCTGATCTTCACTGTGGAGCGCTGGTCTTTGCAGTCATCGTAGAAGAGAGAGGCTTGATGGACGCTGCAGCTGCTGCTCCTCTGCTCTTCTTTGTTTTCTGCTGCATGAACTGCTGTCGTTTGCCTTCGAGCCAGCGGAATATGGACTGAACCCTCCAGTAACTGTGAGCTAAATAAACCTTTCCTTCCTTCATTTTGAGTGTCGGGTATTTGTCCCAGCAACAAGTAAAAAGTAACTAAGACAGGCACCTTGATTTAGTATAATTATCTTATGTGTTTTATATGCTTTTTAGCCCATCAGCCTGGTTGTTTATCTACATGTAATTAACTTTATAATGTTTTATAGAATAAATAAATGAACCTGATACTAACAAAATAAAAAGGATGAAAGGAAAGGGAAAATAAAACATCTGAAGCTGTTCTATACATACATCCAGGCTGTGATTTGACAGGTCTCTGACTGACAGATATGTTAGTTGAGATGTGTTATGTACATTGCAATTCCCTACAATGAATGTAATCACAATATAGTGTAAACATGTATTAATAATTTTTTAAAGTATCTTTTTGGATGATGTCATTTTTTAACATATACTTTTTGAATTCCTGCTATTCTCACTATATAGTGCTTTTTTTTTTTTTTTTGGTAGCAAGAGGATCAGCCTTGAACTCTCTATGTGGCCCAGGCTGAAATGGATTAGAATGGTCTATAGTGTTTTACAAAGAAAGATACCACTTGTCCACTTCCTCTACAGTGTATTTTATTCACCAGGAATATAATTCTTTGACTATATCAGTGGTAGTGAACCTATGGTGCATGTGCTGCATTGGGTGTTATCATTCAAAGCTCTAAAAGGTTCATTGGATGAAAAACTTGACAGGAGACTAGAGAAGGTCATAACTGGCTGCCTTACCCAAAGTGATAGTTATCTTAGTGCCTTCTACTTTGTAGTCAATTGAAACATGTTTTCTTCAAAGTGAAAAGTGCAAGGGTTTTAGACTGGTCTTCCTAATCCACCTTCATTCAGTGAAAATTATAGTAGCAGAAAAATATCCAGGTGCATTGATTGTTGATTGTTAAAACTTTTTCACAAATGCTCTGTGCTTATATTTTAGTTTTTTAAAAATACCTTTCTATATCTTTATAGTATAGTACATTCCAAATTAGGTAGGAAACATCAAGAGATGTCAATCTATTACCTTGTTCTTAAGATTTTTTTCTTCTTAAATTGCTTTCTGTCAATATCATCTTATTACAAGGTAAAATCTCAGGAGCACCTTAGAATCTAAAAAGGTTTTTATTCCTTGCCTCTATAGGTCTTACTATTTATCAAAAATAGCACTGAGACTGTGGAAGTTAAAGTCAGAACTAAATCTCTGTCTCTTTCCCTCATACAGGTTATGTTTTTATCTGGGGAATAGTAAAATGCCTGAGGGATTATTGGTTATGCATAATTGTATCTGTTATGCCATGAACTATGGTTTCTTGCACTTGGAGGGCAAAGGAAAAGTTATTTTCTAGCTAATATATGGTTTACCCATACCACCTCAAAGGCCCCTATTAAGACTTTCATGATGCTTTCTTCCTCTCCCTTTTAGTGAGGGTTGGAACACAAACTAATAAATTACTAGGAGACTTCACTACTAGAAATAAAAATAGAATTTTCAGATCAAAATGGACTAACCCGCAATTTTGAGAGAAGACTATATTGTAGTTTTAAAAGAAATAAAGCTTGAAGCACACATTGTGGTGCATGCCGGCAGCCCCTGCTACTTGGGAGCCTGAGGTAGGAGGATGGCAAGTTTTGGGCCAGCCTGGGCAATTAGAAGAAACTCTTGTCTCCAAATAAAATAAAAAAGTGCTGAAGATGTAGCTCAAGTGTTAATGTGCTGGCTTAGCACACATGACACTCCAGGTTCAACCCCTAATAGTGTATATGTAAGCACAGATACACACACATACACACACACCGCACACAGAAAAAGTGCACAAAAATTTAAAACAATTTTAATGTGAACTAGTTCTCAAAAATACAAGCTAATTTAAATAATATCTTTAAATACTTATATCTGTCCAGTGACCATAAAAAGCAATTAACACAGATGAAAACAATGAAAATTTGTCAGTAACTATAGCAGACAATAAGGACTCTGCTCTTATGATTTACGCATACTAAATTTTTTTGAGACAGGTCTCACAGTATAGTTCAAACTGATCTCTTACTATGTAGTCCAGAATAGCTTTAAACTCGGGAAATTCTTATGCCTCAACAACCTTCCAAGTACTGAGGTTCTAGGCATGTACAACCATCCCCACCTCCACATACTTTGAAAAGCTGTTTTGATTTTTTTTTCTATCCACAGGCTAAATTTTTTGAGTGATTTTCATATTATATGTTTGTTACAGTAAAAAAGAAAGTGCCTATCAAATGCATATCCTAGTTTTGAACATATTTTCTGATTGGCGTAATTCCAAGATGATGAGAACTCCTGTGCTGCTAAAAGTGGTAACAGAGAAGGAAAAGAGGCATTTGGATTACATGCCAATCTTGGTGCCAAATTTAAAAAAAGCAGTAAGTTGACGTGTATTCATTTTTCAAAGAAGTAATCATACCCACCTTTGCTCATCATCTGGCCTCTTGATCAAATTGAAAAGTATGTGCAGAAGCTGATCTCTCTCTTTAGGCTCAGGATGCAGGCATGCTGTACACAATATGAGGGGGATCAACTCCTAAAGAAATATGAAGGCACAAAAATTTAAATAAAAGCTAAATTACAGAATATTCTTTTCTTCCATAGAGTACTCTTAAATAGACATTTAAGCCTTAACATACCAAAAAGCAAACTTCAATTTTGTAAGATTGATAAAACAAAGAAAATGTTAAAATATACATGTTGGTTTGTACAGAAAATGTAAATCACTATGATAAAACTTCTTTAAGGTTCAACTAATCTTCTTTGTTTTAATTTAATTTAGGTCCTGTAGCTTTTTATACTAAATACTGTAATATTCTATAGTTTGCCAAGTTAATACTTAAATTCTAAAAGTTTTCATAAAAGAAAATTTGCAGAAGTTTGCTATATTTTAAAACTTAAAAGGACAAGCAAAGAAAAATAACTCTTTCTACATATCCAAGGACTATTGTACCTGCCATACCTAACTCAGTAGTAAACTTAAAAGATCACTTCTTGGGAGTAACTCTGAGGTAAGGCAGCAACTGTATAGGGTTTGATCCCCAATACAGCCAAAAAAAAAAAAAAAAAA